ATCTCAACAGTAGGCCCACACTACGTGATCATTATTTACCCCAGAAACAGAGTGATCGTGAATTACCCCGGGTCACCCTACCACATTTTTTTTATAAGAAATTTTGACCAAGCTCTCAGCAGACTCAGGCCTTTAGAAAATTATTGTACCTCTCTCCATTCCACCCACCCTTGAAAACAAACTTTCTGTGGAATTGTTCATTGGATGCAATATTGTACTTTTAAGATGCACATGCAATTAAAAAAAAATTGGGGGATTTCATAAACTTAAAAAACACAACATGAAGAGAAATACAACATGTCTTAAAAACAAAACTATAAAAAAATTAATGAACGGCAATGTGTGTATTATTCATTACTGTAGGCAATTTATATATCTTGTTTAGTGGATAAACTGCACTCACTTCAGAGATATACACAGTATCATATTTTCAGTACATTTATGTACATAATTTGTAAGTGTTTATGCATCCTAAATTTAAACATAAACCTTAACTAATAAGATAAGCCTTAAATAATAAAACAGTAAAAAAGTATATGAACTACAACTTATGTCCCATTCAAACATCTTAAGAAATCTAAATATTAATCATGAGAACAGTTATAACAAGAAAATTAAAAAATTTAGTTCTAAGATACTTTTTGCCAAAACCAAACATTTAATTTTCATTACTTATTCATAAAATGATTTATCCCGGCACACGATTTAAAGATTTACATTCCAAATATTTCTTCATCACGAGGATTATTTATGCTATTAAGTAATAAAATCATATACCTTAATCAAAGTAAATACTATTCTAAACCTAAGTTGTAAAACAACTTGAAACTTATAATGGAAGAAATTTTATTGCAATCATGCAGAAATGATCCTGAGAAGTTTCACAACAATAAGCTGCTGTCCATTAACCCGTGTTTTATACAGTATTTATGTATTGAACTTTAATAAATATTAAACTATATTTTAAATGTTGATAAACGTAATTACATTGTTATTTTACAACGGTATCTTACCATGACAATTTTTAAACTTATTGCTATCTAATTTTCATTTTAAAAAGTAAATTTAATAAACATAGCATACTTATGTAATCGATAATCATCATAACCTACATTTTTATATATTTAAAAGATCAACATTAATTAAAAACAAACCTTTTAATTAAAATATTCTGCTGTGCTTCATGTAGTAATTAAATTTACAATGTGTAGTTTTAAGTCCTCTTATATACACAAAAGTAACAAAATATCTAACAATCATTTTATTAAAATAGATAATTTTTAATAATTTTAAAACTATTTATTAGATGCTGCTTTAGAGACTATAATAAAAAAAAAAGCTTTGTATTTTCATGTATATACGATATTATAATTATTTTATGATCTTTTTGACTCACACTTTTTCTTTAAGAAGTATTTAATAAATATGCATTCTTATAAAATATTTTTTTTTAACGGCAGGCGTTTAAACTTTTATTTACCAGATAATACTAGGCAATGCTTAAATAAAATTGCAAACAAATAACACAATTCAAACAATTTATATTTGATCATAATTAGAAGAAGAAAAATTTATATATGAAACATTCAAAGCAAATAAATTATGTTTGTCATAAAAAATACAAAATAAATTTTTTTATGAAAAGGTTAATCACTCACCGTAAAGAAATGGCTTTTTTGTTTCTAGAAATCAATAACAAAAGTCAATATCGCAGAACTTCTCTATTATAAAAACATAAATAAGAGCTGTCACATTTTGACGTTTACTAAAACATGGAATTCGTAAGTCGATATTTCAACTCAATCAGTTCAATAGTTTTTGGAATAGAATATCAATAAGTTAGTCTTCAGTTATACAAAGATAGCGATTAATATTACACACTTAATTTTTAAATAAAAATATATTTAAGTAATTAACATTGACCCCTTCTAACCCAGAGTAACAGCTAACGTTTCACTTGAAGAAGGTAAAAAATCCAAAATAAGCCTGAAGTTTTGCAGGAAAGCAAGCTTCAAGGTTCGGGGTAGTTGATCTGAGCAAAATGATAATCGATAGAGGATTCTATATCGATACAAAATGAGTGAAATCAACAACAGAAAATAATCGATGTTGATATCTTAATTTTTTTTTGTAATATTTGTTCTCCTAAAACTTAATTTAAAGCTGATTTTCCTTATTATTTTAATTGCTTTATTTGCTGAAATTAATTATGTATCGAGAAAGTCTTGATTTCAAGAAAGAATAAACTACAGCCGAAAACGAGTTTTTTCAAGTTTAGTTTTTATTGTGCACTAATCAGTCTAATATTTAAGATAAATTTGTAAACTGAAACTAATGAAACCGTTGAAAAAATGTGTACCCACTTCTTGATTTCTTGTTCTGCAACATACCTTAACCGCGCCCCCGGGTTTTTATGATACTTTCCTGAATCGAAAACTACCGGTAGTGGCGTCATCTTTTTTTTGTCTATAAGGAAGAATTTTAAAGAAAAAGATAAAATTTGACCCCGACGTCACTTTAAGGAAAGTAAAAATACTACACAAAGTATCAGGAATCTTCGATACCGAAGCCTAACTTAATCAATTTTTGTCAATTAATATAGGAAATGTCTTTAGAAGAGGTTTGTGTTTTAATCTCTAATTTTAAAAATCATCGTCTATTTTAAATGTTGCTCGTTGTTTTATGTTTTCATCTAATATTTTATTTATCTCAGGAAAGGTGATTATTTTATTTTCATTTTCAGAAATTCACTAAAGCAGCGGAAGATGTTACGAAGTTAAAAACTAAACCAACTGATGAGGAACTACTGGAAATATATGCTTTATATAAGCAAGCTTCTATTGGAGATGTAAACACTAGTAAGTGTTATTAAAGATAGAACTAAATTTTACCCTTTTTTTGTCTTCTTTGTATACGCAATAGTTTAGTCTCTTTATTTAGGTCATTTGAGTAATTTGTTGAAAATAGGACTAGAGTGGGTCGAATTTTACCCTATAATTTAACCAGGACTTTCTACACTGCTTTGCAGCCAGGCTTCTTTTTATCGCATTTTTGTTTCATTGATATTTACTATGTTTTGTTTTTATGCAGTTCATGCTAAAATACTGGAGTCTAGTTAGCATTGACTAGTTAGTATTTACTATTCTAATATTTATATGTTAGTATTTAATTTGTTAAGTAAGATTTAATTAAATAAGGATTTAACTATAATCCTTTTAGAAAAAGCATTTTTTTTTAATGCATTAAACTACATCTACATTGTTCCTCCATTTTCGTGTATCCCAAATCAGAGATATTCTATTGAAAAAAAACAACATATTTTTTCTCTAAAACAGTCTCAAAAAATTGCACAAAATCTTGCCATACCTGAGCCTTTTGATAGCCAGTGTACTTCAGTGTGAAGGAGTAATCAATGAAAATTCTCATTTTCTTCGCACAACTGTGCAAATAGCCATGATGAAGAGATTTTGTTCTAAATGGCTTATGAATCCATGATATCACTTAAGCATGGCAGGTGCTTCATCTGTTACTATTAATATTCTATTTGATAAAGGGATTATTTTTTCTTGGAAGTAATTTTTCAAAGCATTAAACATTGATTCACCTTTAGTGTCAGTTTTTAAAGTTCCATGATGAACAGCTCTTCATAGATTTCTTGTTTATTATAAAACTAACATGTATTAATATCAGTGTTTCATTACTAAGTAGTTGATTCTCCCATATGTAAAAAAGAAAATTATTTTACAAATAATTGCATTAAAACTTTAAATATCATAATTCATTTTATTTTCCAGTGATTTTTTTAATATCAGATTTCTTCAAAATCTCTGTTAAGCTCTTAGATTAAAATTTCTGCTGTGTAGGAAGAAATTAAAGCCAGCTAAATATTGGACATGCTCTTCAATTTATTGTAGTAAAGTAATTTTTATGTATTTAAATTTTGCTGTGCAGCCCCAAGTAAGATTACAAGTTGGTTAGATGAGATCCTCTATCAGTGGACAACTATTCACATTTCTTAAGCCCTAATTTTTTTTTGTTAGCTCATAGACCGTTGTGTGTATCTAGAATTTGAGTAATAATCATGATGTATTATAATCATAGCATAAAATCTTCTTTAAGCAAATTAAATAAGGTTTTATGTTCTAGCTCGCCCAGGTTTGTTTGATCTGAAAGGAAAGGCCAAATGGGATGCTTGGAATTCTAAAAAAGGTATATCATTAAAACAATTTTCATTGCATTAGCATGGTAAACAAATGTTAGTTTCTCTTGCAACTTTAAATTTAAATGAATTTATGATCAAGTTTTAGTTTCATTAAGTAAGATATAATGCAAACACTTAGTTTTATTTGTTTGAAGAAATTAGATAATTCTATTAATGATATCTAATATTAATGTTTTTTTTTTTTTTAATTGCTAGCTTGAAATAATTGACTTCAATATAAATTATCTGTTATTTTCTACACGCATTTTAAATATTTTGAAGTTTTAAAAATCACATAATCTTCTTATTAATAAGATTAGTGTTTACAAATATATTTTTTATATAAAATTTAATACCCAATTATTTAAAAATTCTGATACAGTACAGAACCCGTTATCCGGAAATCAGAAAACCGGAACGAAATTCTGTACATTTTCCCTCCATTTTTTTAAAAAAATATTTCTCAGAAGATTTTTCTTTCTTTTTTGAAAGATGTTTACCTTACCATCATTTTGGAAATAATCATTAGTGTATTACTTCATTGTTTCTTCTTTTTCAGATTATTTCCAAATATTTTTTTTAGTTGGGTTTAACAATAAAAAAAACAGCTTTTTGTAGTGATTCAGAAAACCGGGAAAATCAGTTATCCGGAATAGCGATGGTCCTGATTGTTCCGGATAATCGGTTCCCTACTGTATTATTATTTTTATTTATTTAATTTTTTGCATTAAGATGTAAAAACTAAAATTGGCATACCAAGGGTTAAGTTCTATCAGCAAGAACCTATCACTGTCAAAATATAAAATGTTTGCTCCATCATCAAAGAGTATTAATTTCTAGAAATGAAACTAAATAACTGTTTCTGATTTAATGTCTTAAAATAAAGGTACGAAAATAATAAACTGTGATCTTACTAAAATATTGTTGCTTCAAAGATAATATGCATGAAAGTGATTAGATGAGTTTATTAATATATAGAGAAAAAACCTTAGTTTTCTTAAGTTCTAGAATCGCGAACACTTTAAGTTCATTCATTGTGTGTAAATTCTATGGCTCTTGGAAGGAAGCTATCTTTTTTTGAGTTTAAAAGATAAGTCTTGTCCTACTTTTAATTTAGTTGGGCAGCTGTGTTTACCCATGGTCTAAGGTTTTCTTTTTAAATAAGTCATCTTATCTACTATTTAACTTATGTCTTATGAAGTTTATTTGATCTGATTTATTATTCATTAAGTACTATTATATAAATGTCTCACCTCTAATAAAACTATGATTTTCCAGAAGTGCTAAAAAATTATCGTGTAATAATCTTTGATAACTTCTTTCACAGAATGGATGCCTGTATCTTTTGACTCTTGGATGTGTAAAATTTTAGATTTTTGAACATATTTGGTTTTAATGTATTTTACCACATCAGAATTTATGATAATAAATCACATTTTAAAGAACAGTAAAAAAATTTAATAAATTTTAATAATGATGTTTTCTACCTGATTGTTGGCAAAAATATTTTAATGATGAAACTATAGATAACTATTATAGAACATTATAAATAAATTTATGTACATATTTTAGTGGCCATTGATTCAAAAATGTTTAGTTTTTCTTGGTCACCTATTTCTTTATTCTTTTGTGTATAGTTGTCATTTGCTTTGAAAGCTTTTATACTCGGATATCTTTTGTAAATTAAATGACATTACAAGACAAAAGTGACATCACCGCTTTTAGTGTGCATGATAAATTTGAAACCATATTAAAACATTTTAAACCTTAGGATCTGATGTCTGTAAATTACCATGTAAGGAGAAGGGGGGGATTTTTTCTTGAATTTTAGAAACTGGTTCTTAAGGATGAAAAACCAAAGATGTTATATTTACATTTGTTTTAAAGTAGAAGTAATACACTATATACCTGCCACTATGGGATAAGTTCAAAAAAACCATTTTTGTGAAATTTATCCAATAAACTATTTTTATAAATTTTAATCTGCTTATTAAAATTTACCAGAGATACTCATTTTTAATATATTCTTTTCTTGTTTGCTTCATTTTTAAATACAATAGTTTACTTTTATTTGTATATAGGTATGGATCAAACTGAAGCTAAAGAAGCTTATGTCACTAAGGTCAATCATCTTATTGAAATCTATGGTCTGGCATAATGGAAATTATTTGCTCAACTTTTTTTGCTTGTTAGAGATTTTTTTTCTACTTAAATTCATTTATTGCTCTTCAGATGTTTTAAACTTATCATCTACTTAAATAAATTTATTATTTTCATATAATTCTGTGTTTGAGTTCATTTTTTGAAGGGAACTGAGAACATCCCACAACTGTTAGGATAATCTTAATTGAATACTCTTTGTGAGCAATGAATATTCAGTGCATTCCAAAAAAAAAAATTTAAAAAAATGTCCTTAATAAATATTTTAACTTGAAGAAAAGAACAGGCGTTATCAAATTCTGACAAGTCTCTACAGAGGAAGACAGGTATAATTAATTAGAAGTAGAAATTTGAGGGATCTCTAATAATTGTTCTTAAACTCTATTTTTCCTCACATTATTAAATCTGTCTTGCTCTTTATTACAACCTTTCTGCATTGTGATGTGTCCGATTTCTTTATTTTTTCATTTTTTTTTTTCAAGCTTAAATATTAATTTGCGACACATAATGTGCATATTTTTTTTCCAATTTTTATAGGGATTCTGAAACCAGATATTAAAAGCTGTCTTTATGGATGGGTGGCCTAATATAAACAATAACAAGCGTCCTTAAACCGGAAGAAATTTAGAAAATTTTCGGTGTATCCCTCCGCTTATGTTATGACTACGAGGCGATGTCTGAACAAGCCTAATATTCTATGCAGTTTTGTTATTGTAATTTGGGTTCAAATCTAAACATAATTGTACCATTCATAAGAGCTTTCAGTAATGTGTTGATTCTCAGAGAAAAAAATTTTAAGTCTTTCATAAATTAAACTCACTAAACTTTTAATATTGTTTTATAAAGCTTTAAAATTAAATGCTGAATATACATTTAGTTTAAAAGGTGGCTTAAATTTTATTATTAATTTTGAAGTTATGCCTTTTTCTAATATATAAAATGCATTAACATAGGGTTATAATTGCTATTAAAGGAAAAAATGATTATTATGAATTTAAGTAGGGGATTACAGGGAGATTTTTCAGCAGATTTCCACTTTTTTTTCTCTCGAATTCCAGTCTTTTTTATCAAAAGCTCCGATTCTCTAAAAGTTTCAATTTTTTTTTAATAAATATTCCGTTTTTTCAGAAAATTCAACCTTTGAAATAAAATATATTTATTTTCGAAGATAAACTGAAAATTCAAACTACATAGCTACCAGCCCTTCCGCATTTTTACTTATTTTAGCTTTTACTCGCAGAAGATAAGGTATTCTGCATTTTTACCAGCCTACTAGACAGCTCGTATTTTCGAAATTCAAAGACGCTGCTTCAAACAAGTCTTTTGGAAGTCCCAAGACCGGAATCTGCTAATATCTTGATTCTTATTCACGCGATTTTAATATCAAATATAGCTTTTCATATTTACGTGATTTAAAAGTTGCTCGTGCGATTCTTATTCACGCGATTTGAATATCGTACATTGCGATTCTTATTTAAGAGATTTAAAAATCCAATATCGCTATTAGTATTTACGCGTTAAAAACCTATGTGGCTATTCGTATTCACGCGAGTTTAAAATTCAATGTCGTGAGTCGTTCATGCGTTTATAATATCAAACATCGATTTTCGTATTTATACGTGATTTAAAAATAAGACATCGTGATTCGTATTTACGCGATCTGAAAATTATGGATCGTGATTTGTATTTACGCTATTTAAAAATTCTCTCTCGTAGTTTGTATTTTCTCATTTTCAGAATCGAATATAGAGTTTCATATTCACGCGATTTCAAAATCCATTTTCGTGATTCATATTCACGCGATTTTAAAATCCAAGATCGCAATTTCTATTTACACGATTTTAAAATAAACTATCGCGATTCTTGTAAGAAAGTTTTTTTTTTCTTTAATTAGTTACTATTAAGGTGACTGTTGTTCTATCGACGATTATTAGTATATACAGGCATTACAACAGAGCATAACTGGAAGAGAATATATTCAAAACTTGCATTTTTTTTTCTTGCAAAAAATAAAAAATAGGATTTTTCAAAAGATGTTTGAAGATGGGCAAACGACTAAATTAATCACCAATCTGTTTGTGTCAGTTTTGCTATTACTACAAGAATATATAAAACTTTTCCAAACTGGAGCAACCCACATTCACAAGCATCTTGACCTTGTTAAAGGATTTTTTTTTTTTGCTAGTTTTGTGAAACATGAAGCATTTGCAGCAATCGGAAATTAAACAAAAAAAAAAAAAAAAAAAAAAAGCAAAANAATAAATTAGTAATGTTTTTTTTTTTTTTTTTGAAAAAGTTCACTATGCACCAAAATCCAAATTTTAAAATATTATGTTGCAGTTATTTATGCTATAAAAGGCAAAATTCTTATCAAATAAAAAATAATTATCTTAACAGTTGCTGCTTATCATGTAATCTTAACTAAAATAGCAATTTTTGTATGTTAAGGAGTTACTATATATTTCTACTTCACAGTTATTGATATGTTTAACAGTGCTCTAGCTAGATTAGATTATAATATGAACATAGTGATTCCAATTGTAAAAGTTTCTTTTCTATATAATTTAAAAAGTCATGTTACTGATATATTTGCTATAAATCACATAACAGTATTTATTAAATGTTAATGTATGTTCTCAGTAGTTTTAATTTGCTAAACCAGGCAGTTTCTGAAGTAATAATTGTCTCTTATGAACTGAAGAAATAATTTCTAGCTTTATTTTTTTAATTGGTAATTTTACTTTTTACTAAATGTTAATTATCAATTATATAATAATAAATTGGTACACAATTGCATGTCAACACATTGCTGCTATCTTAAATTGTTTGGAATTTATTAATAAACGATTGTACATATGTGCATAAAATTTACTAGCATGTAAATTCAGCTTTTTAGCCAATCTCAACCCTGTATATATGTTATAAAACCATTTTTTTTGGACAATAAATTGGCATTTTGGATATTTTAAGCAAATTCCTGATTTTTTTCAGATTGATAAAATTCCCTGACTGATTTTTGCCTTATTCTCTTTGTTTTTCCTGTTCTTTTGCAATCACATGTAAATTAATTAAATGAATTAAGCAATATGCTTAGAATAATAAATATGGAAGAATAAATATAAAACATTTTATTTACAAAATTAATCTGTACAAAAATATTTTAACATCATTTTCTGAATCTTTTGAAAAGAGGATGTTTGCTGCCTTCTCTTCTAAGTTTATATTCCATGTAAACAGCATCATCAGCACCAGACAATGAACTCATACTACCAACACGACGAGAAACCTTCAATATAAAATATGTTTTAGTCACAGTTAAGATTGGATATATTTTTACATTATGTTCAGTCAATATGCTTAAAATAGCCTTACATAAGGTTTTAATTGTTAATAAAATTATTTTACTCAAGAGTTTATTTGATCCTATCTAAAGAAAGAAATTAATAACTGATAATTTTTTGTAATATTTATTTGAAAAAAATTATTCAAATTCATAAATTAATTTCAAATGTTAAAGTATGTAACTGACAACAGCACAACTTAAGATATGAGATTCTCCTAGCTAAATGAAAACTTAAAGACATTCTTTTATCCATTTTGCATGATAAATAAAAAGCTTCATTTTGATGCATATTCTATAAATATTTAATTATGTAAAGAAATAGAAGATATTAAAAGCAATCAGTTTCTTTATAAAACCATAGTCTTTATATTACTTATTCTATTTTTTAAGGGAAAAATTAAAGCAACTTTCAGCCTAACAAAAGAATCTAGGAGAAAGATGTATCCAAAGTTAAATAGCTATTACAACATTTCCCAATCTCTCCCTTAAAAGTCTAAACTCATACAATTTGTTGTATCTAAACAGTAACTGATTAGGTATCTGAATTACAGTATCTGAACAGTAACTGATTGTATTTATATTTCTAACAATCAATAGTTTTTTTTTTTTTTTTGGAATCCTACGACTAGCGAGTTCCAATCGGCCATGTGGTGTCTTGCTTTCCTATAAAAATGCGGCACATAAAACCAGAAGGGAAAATATATCCTGATTTTGCTATTAAATCTACTTCCTTGTTACCATGAATCTCAACATTACTTGGAATCCATTGGATGACAATTATTTTCCATTTTCAATAAGATTGATAATTACTTCATTACACAGAACCTCTCCAGAATAGGAAGAATACTTCTTATTTATCAAGATCTGAATTGCATCTTGGACAAGAAACACAATTTTTTTCTCTCATAAAATTTTTAAAACAATATTCATAAGTACAATATTGATTAATAAAAATTTTTTAATAAATTCTTTTATAACCAGGGATCTGTCCAGGCCGAATTTACTACCGCTTAGTGGCACCTTCACAAATTCAACTTTAGGAAAAATGGTAGTTTCACAATTTCAATTTTAGGAAAAACAGTAGTTTCACAAAATATTTTTTCTTAAAATTTCATTTTTGTATAACGTAAGAAACGATAAATCCATATTTTTATGTTGATTTTTAAATATAAATTTTAATTTTTCACACATTATATCTAAATTTTCACAAAATAGGTACCTCTCAGAAAAACCTAGACAGACCCTTGATAACAATATTGATTACTATATATTGCATTGCATATGCTTTACAATATATACTAATCAATATGATAAGAAAAACACCCAAATGCAGTGTAATAGTAAATATGTGTAAAGATAAATTTGTTGCCTCTCATATAGCATTTTCATTACCAGCATAGCTTATATTCTACTCATATTTAAACAACTTAAGTACAAAATTAATTTGTATTTAATTTGTCTGAAGTTAAATTCTTGTTTTAAAGCATATGTGAAAAAATTTCTTTTTTTAAACTTTTGTTTAAAAAAAGACTTCTGTTTCTAAAACTTTTGTTTCTTTTTTTAAAACTTTTATTTTAGGACAAAATTAGGGAAATTTGAAGCAAATATACACAAATCAAAACAACATGTTTATGAGTACCACATTCTTGTATTTTAATGCATAAAACGTTGCATAAATTCAAAACTTATTTCAAATGCAAATAAAGCTAGACATATAAATGAAAATTCATATTGTAATCATGTAATGTAAAACTCTCATTTTACATCACAAAAATAATATAAAATTCTGAAAGAATAAATAGATTTTAGTTACCTGTTGTGATGCTTTGCCACCTAAAAATTCAGAAGGAACTTTTTCAGCATCATTAGCAGCTAATACTTGCTGTCAAAGCTGAGTTTGTTCTTCTCTTGTTTTATAAGCTAATTCTTCTTGCTGTAAATCATATAGAAAATTAATTGAAATTACAGGTGTAAAATTATCTCATCAACTTTAGGAGACAACCTTCACAATTACCACAATACATTCAGCTTTTCCATTAAAATATTTTTGTTAATGTTTAGATCAAATGTGTCAAACTCACGGGCCGCATGCGGTCCAAGATTAACATTTTTGTGGCCCAGTCAATATATCCAAAGCAAAGTAAAAATAAAATAGAAATGTGAATTAGAAACGAATCCAGCATATAGAATTATAATATACTTATTAATAAACTATACGGATCATTTTAAATTGTACGCGCGAAAATGTAAAACTCTAATTGGCTGAAATGGAGTCCGTTTCACACTAATCAAACAATTCTGGGATTTGAAAGAAAAAATATGCAAGTTTATACAAACTATAAATCAAGATACAAATTTGTTCTCCGATCAAATTTGGTTGCAAGATTTATCTTTTATGGTTGATATAACCAAACACTTATCCGATTTAAATTTATTGTTACAATGCGAGGATCAGATCATTACGAACATGTTTGACATAATTAGATATAAAGGTAAACTATTTCTTTGGGAAAGGCAACTGAAAAATGAAGATTTAACGACCTTAACCGCTCCCCCGGGTTTTTATGATACTTCCCTGAATCGAAAATTACCGGTAGTGGCGTGATCTTTTTTTTTGTCTATAAGGAAGAATTTTAAAGAAAAAGATAAAATTTTACCCCGACGTCACTTTAAGGAAAGTAAAAAATACTACACAAAGTATCAGGACTCTTCGATACCGAAGCCTAACTTAATCAATTTTTGTCAATTAATATAGAAAATGTCTTTAGAAGAGGTTTCTGTTTTAATCTCTAATTTTAAAAATCATCGTTCTGTTTTAGATGTTGCTCGTTGTTTTATGTTTTCATATAATATTTTATTTATCTCATTCTTTTATTTTCATTTCCAGAAATTCACTAAAGCAGCGGATGATATTACGATGTTAAAAACTGAACCAACTGATGAGGAACTACTGGAAATATATGCTTTATATAAGCAAGCTTCTATTGGAGATGTAAACACTAGTAAGTGTTATTAAATATAGAACTAAATTTTACCCCTTTTTTTGTCTTCATTGTATACGCAATAGTTTAATCTGTTTATTTAGGTCATTTGAATAATTAGTTAAAAATAGGACTACAGTGGGTCGAATTTTACCCTATAATTTAACTAGGACCTTCTATACTGCTTTGCAGCCAGGCTTCTTTTTATGGCATTTTTGTTTCATTTGATTTTTACTATGTTTTGTTTTTATGCAGTTCTTGCTAAAATACTGGAGTCTAGTTAGTATTTACTATTCTAAATTTGTTGAGTAATTTTTAATTAAATAAGGATTTAACAATAATCCTTTTAGAAGAAGCAATTCTTTTTTAATGCATTGAACTTAAAGTGACCACACGTCCCGATTTTGGCGGGACAGTCCCGCTTTTTAGGGGACTGTCCCGCGTCCCGCCGATTTTTAAAAATGTCCTGCTTTTTAGAAAATATCTGCATTTCTTATTTTAAATGTACTGTAAAAATATATTACCTATTATTTATTAAGTATTATGGTGAATATAAAGAAGTAAAAAATACATTAAAAAAAGCACGTAAAATGCATGCAGAGTAAACTGAATTAGGCAATGTACCGAGTTAGATTTACTCGGTGGTGTTCGATCATTGTCGTTACGTCTCGGCTTAATTCAGATAAGTGCAGACAGTGCAGTTTGTTGTTTTCAATTTGACGTTCGGTTTGACTCATTATTTGATTGACGAAGATAGTGGTAGAGCAATAGTCGCCACAACGTAACGGTCAATAAGGCAAAATTTAATACTCTTTTTTAGCCTTTGTAGTAAATTTTTTATTCATTTCTAGTATTTACCCACAGAATAAAAGATGAGTAAAAAAAGAGAATGCAAATTTAATGAAGAGCTAAGCAGAGAATTTCAATTTATTAAAAAAACCAAAATAGACTATATGGTACGGTGTGATAAATGCAATGCTGAATTTTTGGTCTCACATGGTGGAAAAAACGATATTACTAAACATCTAGCGACAAAGAGGCACAAAAGATTTTTGAATAATGCCGCTTCCTCGTCTGAAATGGAACAGTTTTTTCGCACTGCTAGCTTTGGCAACACGGAAAAACAGCTAGCACTAGCGGAAGGGCTATTTGCTTTCCACACCATAAACCTTGATCTCGAAATCAAAGTTTCAGATCAATGAATTCGACGTCGCAAATGATCAAAACATTATACGACAAAAAATATGCATGTGCAAGGACAAAAACCGAAGCAATTATTTGTAATATTTTTTCACCATATTCGTTTTCACAATTGCAGAAAGAATTAGAAAAATGCGCATTTATATCCATGAATTCTGATGCTTCCAACCACAAAGATTTAAAATTATTTCCCACAATTGTTAGATTTTTTGATCCAGAAACAGGAATTAAATATAGAATATTAGATTTTGTTTCATTGCCGAGTGAAACTTCACAAATAATTTTTGATTCAGTAAGTACTATTTTAAAAAAGAATAATTTGAACATATGAAATGTTACAGATGAAAAAATTAAATGTTGGTTATCTGCAAATGTGGAAACAGACAAAAAATGGACCGAGTTATTCCTTCATTTTAAACAGAATAATATTCCTTATCAAAATATTTTGAAAATTGTAGAATTCGCGCTCTCCCTTCCAGGAACAAATGTAGCAACAGAACGTGTTTTTTCTAGTATCAATAAAATATGGACAACTGAAAAAACGCAGTTGAACATTAAAACTTTAAAAATCTATTTTAAGTGTAAAATATAATTTGACCAATTCATGTGAAATATTTCACGACATTTTAATAAATGATCCGAATCTATTGCTAAGTATTCACTCAGATCAAAAATATGACCGTGAAAGAAAATCATAATTTTTTTTAAATAAAAAATTTAATTTGATTAAAAATCATGATGTTCAAATTATTATTTTTTACAAATATTTTTATAGTTACCAATAATTAATAAATACATTTTTTTACAAGTATATGAATGTATACAATAAAATATATATAACTAAATTGTAATTCTCATTTCATCCCATTTGTCCCGCTTTGTCTCAATGAAAATGTGGTCACTTTAATTAAACTACATCTGCATTGTTCCTCCATTTTCATGTATCCCAAATCAGAGATTATTCTATTGAGAAAAAAAACAACATATTTTTATTCTAAAACAGTCTCAAAAAATTGCACAAAATCTTGCCATACCTAAGCCTTTTGATAGCCAGTGTACTTCAGTGTGAAGGAGTAATCAATGAAAATTCTCATTTTCTTCGCACAACTGTGCAAATAGCCATGATGAAGAGATTTTGTTCTAAATGGCTTATGAATCCATGATATCACTTAAACATGGCAGGTGCTTCATCTGTTGCTGTTAATATTCTATTTGATAAAGGAATTATTTTTTCTTGGAAGTAATTTTTCAAAGCATTAAACATTGATTCACCTTTAGTGTCAGTTTTTAAAGTTCCATGAAGAACAGCTCTTCATAGATTTCTTGTTTATTATAAATCTAAAATGTGTTACTATCAGTGCTTCATTACTAAGTTGTTGATTCTCCCATATGTAAAAAAAATGGTTTTGCAAATAATTGCATTAAAACTTTACTTATCATAATTCATTTTATCTTCCAGTGATTTTTTTAATATAAGATTTCTTCAAAAAATCTCTGTTGAGCTCTTAGATTAAAATTTCTGCTGTGTAGAAAACATTTAAAGCCTGCTAAATATTGGACATGCTCTTTATTTTATTGTAAGAAAGTAATTTTTATGTATTTAAATTTTGCTGTGCAGCCCAAAGTAAGATTACAAGTTGCTTAGATGAGATCCTCTATAAGTGGACAACTATTCACATTTCTTAAGCCCCAATTTTTTTTTTTTGTTAGCGTATAGACCACTGTGTGTATCTAGAATTTAAATAATAATCATGATGTATTATAATCATAGCATAAAATGTTCTTTAAGCAATTAAATAAGGTTTTATGTTCTAGCTTGCCCAGGTTTGTTTGATCTGAAAAGAAAGGCCAAATGGGATGCTTGGAATTCTAAAAAAGGTAAATCATTAAAACAATTTTCATTGCAATAGCATGGTGAACAAATGTTAGTTTCTCTTGCAACTTTAAATTTAAATGAATTTATGATCAAGTTTTAGTTTCACTAAGTAGGATTTAACGCAAACACTTATTTTTATTTGTTTGAAGAAATTAGATAATTCTATATCTAATATTCATATGCTTTTTTTTATTGTGTGTGAAATAATTGACTTTAATAAGAATTATCTGTTATTTTCTACATGCATTTGCATTTTAAATGTTTTGAAGTTTTAATAATCAATAACATCACGTGATCCTCTTATTAATAAGATTAGTGTTTACAAATATAATTTTTATATAAAATTTAATACCCAATTAATTAAAAATTCTGATATTATTACAGTACAGAACCCGTTATCCGGAAATCAAAAAACCGGAACAAAATTCCATAAATTTTCCAGCCTTTTCTTTTTTTTTTAAATGTTTTTTTTTCCTCATAAAATTTTAGAATTTTTCATTCTTTTTTGAAAGATGTTTACCTTACAATCATTTTGGAAATAATCATTACTGTATTACTTCATCGATTTTTCTTCTTTTTAAGATTATTTCCTGTTTTTTTTTAGTTGGGTTTAACAATAAATAAAAAAACGGCTTTTTGTACCGACTCAGAAAACCGGAAAAATCAGTTGTGCTGAATAGCAATGGTCCCGATTGTTCCAGATAATCGGTTCCCTACTGTATTATTATTTTTTTGCATTAAGATGTAAAAACTAAAATTGGCATACCAAGGGTTAAGTTCTATCAGCAAGAACCTATCACTGTCAAAATATAAAATGTTTGCTCCATCATCAAAGAGTATTAATTTCTAGAAATGAAACTAAATAACTGTTTCTGATTTAATGTCTGAAAATAAAGGTACAAAAATAATAAACTGTGCACTTACAAAAATATTGTTGCTTTAAAGATAATATGCATGAAAGTGATTAGATGAGTTTATTAATATATAGAGAAAAAACCTTAGTTTTCTTAAGTTCTAGAATCGTGAACACTTAAAGTTCATTCATTGTGTGTAAATTCTATGGCTCTTGGAAAGGAAGCTATCTTTTACTTGAAGTCTTGTCCTGCTTTTAATTTAGTTGGGCAGCTGTGTTTGCGCATGGTCTAAGGTTTTCTTTTTAAATAAGTCATCTTATCTATTATTTAACTTATGTCTTATGAAGTTTATTTGATCTGATTTATTATTCATTAAGTACTATTATATAAATGTCTCACCTCTAATAAAACTAAATGATTTTCCAGAAGTGCTAAAAAATTATCCTGTAATAATTTTTGATAACTTCTTTCACAGAATGGATGCCTATATCTTTTGACTCTTGGATGAGTAAAATTTTAGATTTTTAAACGTATTTGGTTTTAATGTATTTTACCACATCAGAATTTATAATAATAAATCACATTTTAAAGAACAGTGAAAAAATTTAATAAATTTTAATAATGATGTTTTCTACCTGATTGTTGGCGAAAATATTTTAATGATGAAACTATAGATACCTAACATGGAAAATTATAAATAAATTTATGTACATATTATACTGGCCATTGATTCAAAAATGTTTATTTTTTCTTGGTCACCTATTTCTATATTCTTTTGTGTATAGTTGATTTTCTTTTGCTTTGAAAGCTTTTATACTCGGATATCTTTTATAAATTAAATGACATTACAAAACAAAAGTGACACTACCATTTTTAGTGTGCATGATAAATTTGAAACCATATTAAAAAATTTTAAACCTTAGGATATGATGTCTGCAAATTACCATGTAAAAAGGGGAGGGGGAAATTTTCTTGAACTTTAGAAACTGGTTCTTAAGGATGAAAAACCAAAGATGTAATATATACATTTGTTTTCAAGTAGAAGTAATACACTATATTCCTGCCACTATGGGATAAGTTAAAAAAAAAAGCATTTTTGTGTATTTTATCCCATGAACTATTTTTACAAATTTTAATCAGGTTATTAAAATTTACCAGCGATACTCATTTTTAATACATTCTTTTCTTGTTTGCTTAATTTTTAAATATAATAGTTTACTTTTATTTGTATATAGGTATGGATCAAACTGTAGCTAAAGAAGCTTATGTCACTAAGGTTAATCATCTTATTGAAATCTATGGTCTGGCATAATGGAAATTATTTGCTCAACTTTTTTTGCTTGTTAGAGATTTTTTTTCTACTTAAATTCATTTATTGCTCTTCAGATGTTCTAAACTTATCATCTACTTAAATAAATTTATTATTTTCATATAATTCTGTGTTTGAGTTCATTTTTTGAAGGGAACTGAAAACATCTCACAACTGTTAGGATAGTCTTAATTGAATACTCTTTGTGAACAATGTATATTCCGTATGTTCCAAAGAAGAAAAATTTTTAAATCTTTAATAATTAAATAATCAATATTAAAATATGAATTATTAATAATATATAATAATAATAATTAAATTTAATAATCTTTTCTTTTAAAAAAATTTTTTTTTAAGGAATTTCTCAAGAACATTTGTTCTTATCGCTCCCTCCCCTTACAGAACAGAAACAAAGTTCTATTCATATTTTTGTTGAAAATTATAAATAACACACATTATAGTTTCAATAAGATAATTCTGATCTTCAGTTGTTTATTTCTTTTTAAGTATTGATTGCAAAGCTAGTACTTCGAAAAATTTCAAGTCTTTCATAAATTAAACTTATAATATTGTTATATAAAGCTTTAAAATTAAATTCTGAATATACATTTAGTTTTAAAGGTGGCTTAAATTTTATTATTAATTTGGAAGTTATACCTTTTTCTAATATTTAAAGTGTATTAACATAGGATTATAATTGCTATTAAAGGAAAAAATGAATATTTAAATATATTATATGTCATAAAAGCAAATTTTTTGGGACAAAAAATTGGCATTTTAAGTAAATTCCTGATTTTTTCAGATTGATAAAATTCCCTGACTGACTTTTGCCACCACGTGTAAATTAATGAAATAGTAAGCAATATGTTTGGAAACCTATTCAGATTATTTAATTAAGAAATAAAAACTTAATTATAGAATAAATATAAAACATTTTATTTACAAAATTAATCTGTACAAAAATATTTTAACATCATTTTCTGAATCTTTTGAAAAGAGGATGTTTGCTGCCTTCTCTTCTAAGTTTATATTCCATGTAAACAGCATCATCAGCACCAGACAATGAACTCATACTACCAACACGACGAGAAACCTTCAATATAAAATATGTTTTAGTCATGGTTAAGATAAGATATATTTTTACATTATGTTCAGTCAATATGCTTAAAATAGCATTATATAAGGTTTTAATTGTTAATAATAATTATTTTACTTTACTTATCCTATAAATAGTAAAAACTTCATAACCAATAATTTTTTGTAATTTTTATTTTTAAAAAAGTATCAACTGACAAAGTATCTAACTGACAACTACAGAACTTTTGATATGAGATTCTCCTAACTAAATGAAAAATTATAGACATTTTTTTCGATAAATAAAAAGCTTCATTTTGATTGCATATTTTTAAGATATTTATTTATGTTAAAAAATATTAAATCAGTTTCTTTATAAAACCATAGTCTTTATATTACTTAAGGGAAAAATTAAAGCAACTTTCAGCCTAACAAAAGAATCTAGGAGAAATCTGTATCCAAAGTTAAATAGCTATTACAACATTTCCCAATCCCTCCCTTAATAGTATAAACTCATACAATTTGTTAAATCTAAACAGTAGCTGATTTGGAATATTTTTATTTCTGAAACATTTCAGTTTTGTTCGTTTGTGCCGATTACACCAATGTATTTATATTTCTAACAATCAATAAGTTTTTTTTTTTTTTTAAATCCTGCGCCTAGCCAGTTCCAATCGGCCATGTGATGTCTTGCTTTCCAATAAAAAAAAGGGGAAAATATATCCTGATGTAGCTATTAAATGTACTTCCTCATTACCAGGAATCTCGACATTACTTGGAATCCATTAGATGACAATTATTTTTCCATTTTCAATAAGATTGCTAATTACTGTATTACACAGAACCTCTCCAGAATAGGAAGAATACTTCCTATTTACAAAGAGCTAAATTGCATCTTGAAAATCAACAAGAAACACAATTTTTTAAAACAATATTCTTAAGTATAATATTGATTAATATATATTGCATTGCATATGCTTTACGATATATACTAATCAATATGATAAGATAAACGCCTAAATGCAGTGTAATAGTAAATTTGTGTTAAGATAAATTTGTTGCCTCTCATATAGCATTTTGATTTCTAGCATAGCTTATATTCTACTCATATTTAAACAGCTTAGGTACAAAAATAATTTGTATTTAAATTGTTTATTCCATCTGAAATTGGAGTTACTTATAAAAATAGTTTTTAATTTATCTTTTTTGAAATAAATGCATTAATATTAAAAAATTAATCATTTTAAAATTGTTTTTAGAGTTTCTCTGAAATAAACAAATTCTTGTTTTAAACCATATAGGAAAAAAAAATTCTGAAATACGTTTGTGTTAGGGCAAAAATTAGGGAGATTAGAAGCAAATATACACAAAACAACTTGTTTATGAATACCACATTCCTTTCATTTAAAGCATAAAACGTTGTATAAATTCAAAACTTATTTCAATAGCAAATAAAACTAGACAGATAAAATAATAAAAATTCATATTGTAATCATGTAATGCAAAATTCATTTTACATCACAAAATGATTGTGAGCCCTACTCGAAAATCCTGAAAATTTCTTGAGTAAACTCATTAATGAGGCATTTCAAAAATTTAATGTCTTCATGAATTTAAGTCATTGCTATTTTCAAAACATGAAATTCTGAATAAATTATATGCAGCATAATTTAAATGAATAATTAGGTATAAGTTTATTTTTATCTCTAATCACATTTATTATTATACCAGAAAAAATATTTACAAATGAAAAGTGTGTCAAGTATAAATTACAGTTCTAATATTTCTATATAAAATATTAAAAATGTAATCGGTAATTTCTTGAAACTTCCGAACCTTGGATTTCCGGATAGCGATTAGCAAAAAATCCGGATTTTTTCTGGAGCACAATCATGTCTGCAAAAATAATATAAATTCTGTAAGAATAAATAGATATATATAGGTTACCTGTTGAGATGCTTTGCCACCTAAAAATTCAGAAGGAACTTTTTCATCTTCAGCATCAGCATCATTGGCAGCTAATACCTGCTGTAAAAGCTGAGTTTGTTCTTCTCTTGTTTTATAAGCTAATTCTTCTTGCTGTATATAGAAAATTAATTGAAATTACAGGTGTAAAATTATCTCATCAACTTCAGGAGACAACCTTTACAATTACCACACTACATTCAGCTTTTCTATTAAAATATTTTTTTTAATGTTTAGATTACACTGAGAATGAGATATAAATAGATCTGAGATATTTTAGCATCATTGATTATAAATCTGCAATCAGTTTCTCTCTACAAGTTACAGGCTTTATGCAATTTAATAATATATTCCTAAAAAGGACATTTTAAAATTCCCACGAGTGACTACTAAGTGTCTCCACTTCTCTGCTATGTAGGGAATGGCGGAAAGAAGACAATAATACATTTCAGCTTATGATGTGATAGGAAACAGTCATATGTTTCTAGTCTTTATTTTCAAAAGAGCAGACAAGTTTATATATATAAACCTCTATGTTTTTCATAAATGTTTACATTCATACAAAAATGAAATAAAAAAAAATATCCTTTAAAAAAATCTGTAGCTTTTGGAACTAAAATAGTTTCAGATTTAAAATCTCCACATTCAAATTAGGTAAGATTTAGTACTTGTATAAATGCATCGAAAATTTGATTGTTATTTACAAGCTAAATTTGTAGATTAATTAATTTATCATTAAAAAAGTGAATGATAAATTGACAAATAACGAGAAAATGAACACAATTGTATAAAAATAAATTCTAAGTTGAAAAGTGGTATTCCTTTTTTCAACATTAAAATTATTCTTTTCTTTCTTTTATAAAAAAAAAACATTTATTTCAAAAACAAACAAGGAAGAAAAATAACATAACGACATTTTTTAGGACATAAATTATTGAGTATAAAGTAATAACGAAGATATTAAAATTATATACATGCATCAGAAAGTAATCTGTAAATTTGTTTACATAAAACTATTACAAATTATTGATGATGAGGGCTATAGGCAGTAATAACATGTCTTAAATAAAACAAAAGTAGTTCAACATTATCATTTTAATTTTCCATCAATTTTAGAATATTTCACAGAATTAATCCTAAAATATTCCTCCAATAATAGGTTTTGTTCAAATATAAAATAATAATAAATCACTTTTATTTGAAACAATTGTTAAATTTTTTTACTATTAACTGTTGAAACCAATACTAAATATTGCTGAAAATGATTATTTTTTGCTGAAGTATATTGTTCTAAAAAATCAAAACTTACTTAAAATGTCAATAAAACAACGATTTATGTATTGACATATTTATTAGACTTATTTTAGGATTTTAGACATTAACATATGAATCACAAGAACTCCTTCACAATTTTCAAAATTATTAAAGTCATAATTTGATCACAAACCTCATCCATTCCCATTAATTTAGTGATAACTTTGTAGCTATAGCCTTGATTCACCAAAAATCTCTGTCGCTTCCTAGAATAATGCATTTCCATAGTATCTTGGGATACTAAGGTGTAGAAAAAGGCATTGTATTCTTCAGCATAAGCACCTAAGAATACAATAGTATTCGGAATAATTATTGCATATAGTTATTTTTTAAAAATATATTTCTTTTTAATCAAATAACTACAAAAATAAAGAAAATGCTGTTTATTTGTAATTTAGTAATAAAATGCTGTTAATTATTAAATTACATTATTTACAATGAAATATTTTTATATCTAAACAAAATATTACTTACAACAAAAATTTCTGAAACATATAATGGAATATGATAAAAATACTTTCTATTTCTCAAAATATATATATATATATTTGGGGGCTAAGCCCCCTGTTCGCAACCACTCGCTTCCCAGCAATAATTGTTTTTTCTAGTATTATGAACATTTAGATCTCTTGGTGAACAAAAGTAATTTTTCGAAGTAATCATTTTTTAAAATAACATTTATGTTCTTATAACATTATAATGTTCTAACAAATTTGATGAGTTCACAACCATAATTTAAAATTTTCGCTAATAATTGCAGTGCTGGAAACAACTTAAATTAGGGATACAAAAATATTTAAAAGAAAACAATACCTTTACGACTTTTGTTAATTTTATGCTGATAACAACCAAAACAATTAGAAATGAAGGAGGAAAAACTGGATCCTACCTCGTGATTTTTAGGCCAATAAAAATGCACGGACAACAATGAAAAATTCTGACATCATTATGAGACATACTCAAAATAAAATAAAAATCGCTACCCAGCTTTAGATGGTAAGTTTAGTTGTTAACATATTAGCAAGCAGCATCATTAAAAATTATAACCTTTTCACACACATGCGATCTCAATTTTCATTGGCTGCTTTGTGCGTTACTAACTGCAAGTGTTCTGTGATTGGCTATGTGTTATCCTTTCACTCTTTTCTTATATTATATATATATAACAGTGAAGTTGACATATAGAAATATGTATGTATAACAAAGCTTTTTATGGAGCTGCCTTAATACATAATACTTTTTTGATACAATTTGATGTTTAGTGTTTTCTGTATTAATGTTGAAACAGTTACTTTAAATGGAAATTATTGGAAGCCAATAAATTTTGAGTCATTACCACAAATAGTGAATTGGAACGATTGGAAACATCATTCTAGTAGTAGGAAAAAAATGTTTCTAAAGATACAAATGTTGATGTTAAAAGATGTTGATGTTGAAACATTTATTTCAAATAAAAATCATAGAAAGTAAATTAATTCAGAGTCACAACCACTAATCGTTTACTGGAAGATATGGAATATTTCAAATAGCAATATGTATAATATATGTGTGTACCTTTTTTTGCTCTCAAAATTCTTCCCAATCTCTGAGCTTCTTGCCTCCTGGAACCACCATGACTTGATATTTGGATAAGAACATTAGCTTCTGGTAAATCAAAAGATGTATCAGCTACTTTAGATACAAAGATTGTGTTCACTTTAGGATTGTACTTGAAGTTTTGTAGAATTTGCATTCTCTCGGCTTGAGATGTTGGCCCATAAATATAAGGTCTAAAAAATATAAATAATAAATATATAACTGAAAAAACAAGTACTTCAAAGGCATGGAAACGAAGAAAATATTATGAACGAGAAGAGTTTATCTTAAAGGTACACTCCTAAATGAAGAAATAACTGCCTGGATAAATCTTAAAAAAATTAAAGAAATAAGTTTTAAAATTCTTATGGTTAAAAAAAAAATACTTAAAGTCAGAAAATGGGACTTTCAATATTGGCTAATTAATAATACAATTTTTATAATATTTTAAAGAAAATAAAAATATTTATAAACAAATTAGCTTTTTAGAGAGAATTTTTTTTTTTTTATCAATAACTACATCAAAATGTATTTCTTTCAAAAATGTACAGATGTCATTAAACAAAATCATTTTAAGAAGAGACATTTTTATTTAAAAAAATATTACAAATCTATAATAAGTTATATCAATTCAATACAATAAAACTAAAGAATATTTGTAAAAGATTCAGAGGTATCAACTTACCTGTTCATTTTTATAGCATAATGCTTCAGGGCAAACACATTATCAGAGAATACAATAACTTTATCACTTCTTATTTCATGATACCTAATAAGGAACTGGCAAGATCTAAATTTATTTGGATTCATTACAAAGAGGAGCTAGAAATAAAAATTACAAAATATTAACAATATTTATAATTCATTTTAATACTTACCTCCCACTAAAGTATCTTTTTATAAAAATGTGAAAATTAAAAATAGAAAATGAGTAATAACAATTCACTTTATATAATATTATCAATAATTTTAAATTGTTACATTTTACAAATTATCACTTTTTAATATTTTTAAATTGCTAGACTTAAAAAAAGGAATATTGATTCAATATTAAAAAATATATACAAATTCTCAAGATTATAAATCAAACATAAATTTAAGATATTTTTAATTAAAATTCATCTGCAAAAGATCTATTATTTTTGTAAAAAAAAAATTGCTACCAAGTATTTCAGAAAAATTTTAATTAAAATTAGTAACAGTTATTTATTTCACTTTAATAGCAAATAAATTTCTAGTTAAAATTAAAATCAACTATACATTTTTCAAAATGAGAGAAGAGAATGATATGAAATAATGGTTAATTAATAATTATTCTTGCTTAATAACTATCTACCACCTATTATTTTAATAAGCAAAGATCAATATTTCAAAACGAATTGCTTAAACTACACAACTTATTTTTAGCCATACATAATTTCAAAATTTTTTAAGATAAGTTACTATTAACACAGATTTTATGCCAATATTAAACATATAATGAACAAAAGAGAAAATAACTACTTTTTTTATCTCACAATTATTCAAATATGTAAGCGAGATAGAAACATCAAAACAATGCTGTTTCAAAATTTCGAATACATTCAAGATTAACTTTTTAAGTAATTATGTACAACAAAATTATTTAATAATTTTCAGTCAATTCTGGTTATTAAAAATAAATATGCATTATACATCTACATAAATACAAAACCAAAATTGAATAAAAACATACAAACCCTTTTAAAGAAGTTTTATAATTTTTAATGAAATTTCTTGTATAAAATATAAGAAATGGTAATATATGTACAATAAGAAAAAGCATTTTAACAATGATGTCTTCATAAATTGTGCAAAACAAGATAAAATAGTAAAACAAAGTATAAACTACACATAAAATTAAAAGCTTACTAATTTTTTAGCTGCCTTAGCAATCAAATATTCCCTATAAAACTCTGGAGACATTGGACACCATACCTAAAATAAAAGATACATGGTAATAAAAAAATTAGACAATTGTATCACAATGTAATACATAATTCCAGGTATTTTGTGCAATTACAAAATCATATATAAACTTTGGAAAATATAAGAAATCAAAATGTTGATTTAAGCATTTTACAGTTATCAAAGAACTTGTATCACATTTGTCAAAAGTGTGTGGTCATTTCTCTGAGAGAGAGTATTAAGAAACGGATGTTCTGTCAGAAAGAAACCTATTTCTTTCAGGATACTAGAAAACCCAGTAGAAACTGGACAAAATGGAAGAAACTAAAAATAACTTATTCAATTGTTTAGCAATAAGTAATATAAGAATAGCTTAAGTTAAAAACAAATTTAATTTAATATGATACCAGAAGGTCATAACTTTTTACACCTTTAAAAAAAATATTTTCTGTGTAATAGAAAATTTTAAATCTTTGTACTCATCATTTAACAGTAATTATAAATTTATAAAAATTATATAATGCTTATAAAAATTATCCTCTTATGAAGGAGAAGAATAAAATATGAGATTTGTAGTCGCATATATGTTTAGTGTGGGATATGTTATAATCGTAATATTAATCATATTTATACTTATTCGGACATTTTAACAGTCCTTTAAGTAATTATAAAATTTGGTTTCTGCTGTACTCATTTGAAGAACTACAGTTATTTCAGTCTTTTAAGAAATTCATTACATTTACCTTTCCCGGAACTGATTTTCAGTTTTCACTTATTAAAAAAGGTATTTTAAATAGCTTCAAACTCAGTACTATTAATTAAACTAGATTGCAATTATAAACGGCATACAAATTATTTTAATATATTTTTAGGAAGAGAGTTTTTCCTTTCTATAACTTGTGTTGGATGATACCTATTTCTCCTGGTGAGGTTTTTTCTGCTGTAGGAGAAATTCCTCCCCCCACCCCTGACTAGAAAGAATAAAAGATATATATAAAAATATATTAAATAAAATAGCTATCACCATTTAATTCTAATGTCTTACTCTACAGTATTGGGGGAAAATATATTCTAAGAAAAGTATGCTGCTCAGCTATCCCATCAACAAAAAAAAATCCCTATAAAAAAGAAAATCAAAGATCTTTATCAAACTATTTTACATTGGTTGGCAGTAGACAGTCTCTTGAACAAATTATTTGCCAAAAACATTAAAGAGTGTTCCTTTGCACAACTAAAAGACTTTGATAATTTTTTTTTTTTTAACAATGCTTTCCACATCATGAAAATATGTTTAAGTCATAAAATTTTAAAGCAGTATATTAGAGAAAGATAACATATCATCAATAGTATGAATATTTATCAGCACTTCTTAAGATACCATTTATAAAATAAAACAATACGTTTCAGAAATGATAGGACTTATTTCATCCCTCAACATTTTATTGTTCTTTTAAAAATACATGGTTCTTTTACTCTCTAAATGATGTAATGTTGTTAAATATTCATATGTTTCACATCAGTTTTGAAATTTTTAATATAAACTGCATTTAGTTAAAGCTTTATATATATTTAATGTTATTCTATAGATAATACATACCTCAGCACATTGAACTTTGGCAATATAACCATTATTTTGTAATTCAAGCCAGTTAGCCTCATACAACTTAGGACCAATCAAAAAATTTAAATCTTGAATTTTGTCATCTTCCCTAACTAGTGTAGCAGTCAGTCCAAGTTTGCAATGCGCTTGAACAATAGTCAGAACTCTTCTGAACATTTTTGCAGGTATAGTGTGCACCTCTGAATTAAATATAAATATTTTATGAGAAAATTAAATGATAATTTAATAAACTTAAAGAGTAATAAATATTTTACTATTTGGACAATAATAGTCAGTCATAAATTAAATCTTTTAATTACAATCAAACCAGCATTAATAAGTAGAAATTTAAATTAATCAAAGTTTCCTATATCACAACATTAAACTTACTATGAAACTGTAGTTGAATGAGGAAAAGATTATTTAAGCCAATAAACAATTAAAGAGAGCAGTTTAGTAAACAATTTATAATTCATATGCAAAGAATAATATCCCTTAAAGAATAAATTATAAACTAACATGAATTTAATTAAAATTTAAAATCTTAAAATAAATTAGATGCATAAAATACTTTAAAAAATTCAAGATTAAGAAAAGAAATTATTGCAAAATTTAAAATAACTTGTTGTCTTTCTAGTTCAAAATAACTTTATAAAAAATATTTAATAATTTAAATGGTTTTACTGTAGGGAACCGATTATCCGAAACGGTCGGGACCATCGCTATTCCGGATAACTGATTTTTCCGGTTTTCTGAATCGCTACAAAAAGCCGTTTTTTTAATTGTTAAACCCAACTAAAAAATTTTAAAAAATTGGAAATAATCTTAAAAATAAGAAAAAACGATGAAGAAATACACTAATGATTATTTCCAAAATGATGGTAAGGTAAACCTCTTTAAAAAAAGAAAGAAAAATCGTAAAATCTTACAAGAAAAAAAAAAATTTTTTTTAAATGGTGAGAAAATTTATCGAATTTTGTTCCGGTTTTTTGGTTTTCCGGTTTTCTGATTTCCAGATAACAAGTTATGTACTGTATTTAGAAGTAAGGTTCTTCAAAAACATTGCAACTTTTAATATAAAGTTTTTTCATGTACTTTCTTCAGTTTTGGTCATTTAAGTTGCAAATGATGGTAATCATATATGACTGTTTATTGGAAATTCAGAATTTAATTTCTATAAAAACAAAATATTGAACTAATATATCACATCACCTTTTCGCAATTTTTTTAAAATTTTTTTTTTTGGATGAAAAGAATCAAAAATTTTTTATTTATTTATTTTATTGCGTGATCAAACAAAGCAAAATTTAATATTCTTTTATTTCATTCGAATTTTATATTTTAAAACATCAATTTTGTGGTAGTTTGAGAGATGTTCCTAGTGCCAAAATCTATATGATATCACTGTAATTGTGATTATGAAAGAGTAGTATTATATTGTGGTCTTAAAACATTTACAAAACAAGAATAACAAATCACTGTATTTAAATACATTTTAATTAGGTTTGGGTAAGAACAATTTTTGAAATATTTTACAAATTTTTTTTTTTAATATTGCATTGCTTTTTTTTTTGTTTCTAAAGAACTAGAAGCATGTTTGAGCAGCAAAGAAAATCTATTAATTTTTTTCTTGTATTGAATCAATTGAGTTGTTAATTACTGTTTATTGATGGTGACAAAATAGATGCAAAACACTGAATCTGAGAAAAATTTTCTGTGATTAATGATTCGATTACCACACAAAATTACAAATAATCAGTGGATAAGTAAGTAAAATAAATACCATCTAAAAGCATTAAACCCCATTCTTGTTCTTTAAGCCAATTCATCACCTGTTCTGCCTCCCAAGATCTTTTTTGAGTATGTGTAATCATAGAATATGTTGTAACGCAAATACCACATCCTGAAAAAATATGACAATAAATAACTTAATTTAAACATTAAAAAAAACTTTTTTTTTAATTTCAATAAAGAATTATAATGTATAAGAATAGTTTTTAAGTTAATAATATAGTTCATAGGATTTTTTTTTTTTTTGCAACAAACTAAATCTTATTATGCTATCAGTAAGGCATACGCTTGTTTAGGTATATTTTACAGTTAAAGAATTCTTATGTTCCCTTAAATATCTTTAGTAAAACTATTTTTAAAAGATATTTACTTTTGTATTTTGAGCTAATTGGCTTAATTATGTTATTTCTTTTAGCCTGTATTGGCTTAAAATAGTAACCTATAATGGCCAAACTCAATTACATTTATAGATTAAAAGAGCACATTTATAAAATCAGGGAAAAATCTTTGGAAAATCTAATTCAAACAGCTTTTTCTGAATAACATGTTTTCGCTTATTAAAAAATTTCACAAAGAATATAACTTTATGAAGGAACTGAATAAAAAAAAATAACAAACTTTATCAAGAAACTAATTTTGCTGCCAAATGATTTAATGTTCTTTAAACAACATTAAAAAATAGAAATAAATAAAATTATTTAATAGTAAAATTATTTAGGGCAAGCTTTTAAATAATATTTTAAATTTTAGCTTGAAATGTGAAAATACAAACACTAAAATAAGAATGCTTTAAACTCAAGAATAGGAAGAAAAATTTTTTTTTTACCCATCGGCTTATCTTTTGCATCAGATGTAAAACGACAAATCATACTATCATCAGCTGTGGACCACATTTTAAACTAAATAGAAAGGTGAAGAAATACATGAGCCTGCCATTAATATTTACCGCTAAAGATGTTTTAAATATTACTATTATATTATTTTTTAGATATTACTAACTTGAGTTTTCCATTGTTCTACTGACACACCAGAATTGCAGAGTACAAGACATCTTTTTCTGACAGTGCAGCAAGCAGTGACACCAACTAAAGATTTTCCGGCACCTTAAAAATAAAAATATTATTAAGCATTCATACAAATTCTTTAACAAAAGAAAAAAAGTCACAAAATAGAGCGAGTATTCCCTTGCAATAAATCTGAAATGGATTAAGAACAAAATTTAAAAACTACAAATAGTAAAATTTTATTAAAAGCTAAACATGTTTAAGTGTCATGTGACACTGAAACATGGAAACAAATTTTACTATTTTGTATATATATACACAATCAAGATAAAAAGAATAAAAGAAAGAAGAGATTAATGAAGAAAAATAATACAAGGTTACGAAAATAATAGGTTAAGAAAAATAATAGGTTACATATATAATACTGCAAGCAATATGAATTACGTTTTACTTTAAGGGATATTAGATATCACCCTAAATAACAATTATTTTCTTGATAGTATTTGATATCTTTTATCTATAAATTATCTTAGTGAAACAAATGATTCTTAAGCATAAATTGAACAGATGTTTTGATGTTATATTAATACAAAAATAACAAATGTTAATAATATATATAAAACAAAGCATAGAAATAGCTAGCAACTTTTCCATCTCTACCTCTCATGTTGATTGGATTTATTTAATGAATATAAGTATCCCAAATAAAATATATTCCAAAACAAAATCATTCAACAATATCAATATATTTTATATATGAGAAGAAAAAAATTTTAAGAATTCATATTTTTTTAAATACTTCAACTATTGAAGGTTTCATTCTTAAGAAGCAGTAATAATAAATTAAAAACATTAAGAAAAGGGTGCAAATAACATAATTTTCATTAAAAAGTTATTGAAACTTAAAAATTGATATACATTATTTAAATGATATTTAAAATGAGGAACTTCATTCTAAAACAGATTTTCAGAAATGCAAGTAGTAATATAAGAACATAGAAAAATATGCTTCAGTTAAATAAATTAAAAACAAAATATGATTCATGTTATAAACTGATTGTTAAGATATATTTATTTGAATATGCTTCTTGATAAAAACGCTAACATCTAACTTACCACAAGGTAACACAATAATTCCAGATCTTGCACGACCATTTCCAAACATTTTTCTTAAACTTTTCTCTTGGTAAGGTCTTAATATAGCCATGGGTCTCAAATCCATACTAAAAAATCAACATTTAAATTTCAAACTAATAGAAATAAGAAAAAATGTTTCTAATAATAAATTAAAAATCATTTCTCTGGATCCAAATGTAATAATTTAAATATGAAAGTTTCAACTTCGACGAGTTTGAACTTATACATTAGTAAAATAATATTTAAAAGTCATACTTCTAAATTTTTTCCTCACAAGTTATTGCAATATAAATACATCTAGAAACAAACTTTTTAAAATAAATTTATAAATATTGTTAAATGAAAGTAAACACATGTTTTATAACACTTTCTAAATTATATTTTAATATACATATACATATATATACATAATGTTATATTAAATGTGAACTTACTTGATATCAGGATTAACAGAATCATTTTTGAAGTCATATTCTGCCAGCAAAGGATATTCAAGCTCAATACACCTTAAAGCAAAAACAAAATTAAAATTAGAAAGAAAAAAATATGAGAAAGGTAAGTAAGAATAGTAAATACAAAACAAAGAAGCTTAAATTTTAATAATGAAACAAATTAAACTTTTGATAACTTTAAAATAAAAAAGATAAAAAAGTAACAATTATTACATTTTGCAGACTATTAACTAGATTCTTATTTATACAATACAAATAGAAAGCTCTCGCTTTCTCAAACACATATTGTCTTGTACAGGTATCATCAGTAACATTAGCAACTAACATTTAATGTGCACTAAAATCCATACTTTATATGCTTTTTTGATGCTGAATTAATTAGAATAATCATCGATTCTGACACAGCAAAATGTTTAATTTCACAAATGTTTCAAGCACGTCAGAGATCTATAGATTCACGTAAAATGGTAAAGTTTTAATCAGAAAGACAAAAAAATAATAATAAAAGATACTATTAAACTATTATTATTTTTCTATGAAAAACTTTAAAATACATTAAAAATTGTTACAAAAAACATGGTTAACTTTAATGTAAACATTTATAATAGTTATATAAATTTTATTGAACTTGAGAGTCTTGCCTTAATATGCATGCGGAAAAAACTACAAGAAATGTCAAAAATAATTGTTTACATTATTTATCAAATGATTGTTAAAAATTATATTTCACACTAAAAATATTATTTATAACTAAATATATATATAAAAATATTAACTATAACTATCAATTTGTACATATTTAATTGAAATTTTATTCCTAAGCGAAATACATTGTTTTCATTTAAAAAAAAAAAATCGCAAACTTATGCTTTTTTTGTATTATAAAAGTAAAATTACGAAAAAATAAAACATCAAATTAATTTTATACAGAAAACAGAAACTGTACGAGAAAAACTGAAAGATCTAAGCAAATTTTTTAATATCAAGTAATCATAAGGTCAATGTTGTTACCACAAAAGTAAAACTGAAATCAAACACGGAACTTAACTTAAACTTCAAAAATCCATTTTTATGTGCCACTTCACAGTATCAGTTACTGAAATAATTTTCAAATAGTGTTATACAACAAAAAAAATCAAAACAATTAATATTTACTTTATAGTAAATTAATAAGCAAATTTTGTTAATGAAGCAGCCGTACAAAGTATACATGTACACGCCTAGCATAGGGCATTTCAGCTTTACCTATTCTTAGAATGTTAAACATTTTTGATTGAACTAATAAAAAATATTGACCAAAAAAATATTAATAATTATATAAATATTAGTAACTAATAAGGATAATTTCCTAAATGCAAGTCCATTGTGAATACCGTTTTTGAAGGATTTCAATTTTTTCTTGATTAATTTCTACAGAAACTGTTTGGAAATCTTCCTTATCTTCCTCTTCACGCTCAAGCTTTTCATAGAAATTAAATATATCATCAGGAACACTCTCATTTTTTTCAATAGTGGCATCTGTGCTTTTACCAGGAATAGCCCCATTAGTTCCATTTGACTGGAAAAAAATTATGAACAAAGAATAAAATAAACTATTTTACCATTTTAAACATAACCATCTTCATCTTGACACTTTATATGCAATACAAATAAAACAATAAAAGTTTATATGAAAAAAATTCATATGAATTATTTATCATATTAATTTCTAGAAACTAAGAATATCATTGTAAACACTGCACCAGTAAATGACCATAAAATCAACAGAAACATTAAATTAGACTTACACTTTTATTCATAAAAACTAATATCAACAATATGAAAAATCAATAAAAAATTTTAATTTTTGACAACAATTTCTAAGTTAAATACACAAGGTTTTATGTGTATAATTAGAAACTTAATTACAGTTAACACAAAGATAAATATTTTAAATTTGTATGTTTATAAATCTCAGGACAAAAAAAAAAAGGGGGGGGGGNCAGGACAAAAAAAAAAGGGGGGGGGGAGTAAAAGAATCTGTTTGAATAAATTTATATACAAAAGGAGCATAATGCACAAATTAAGAGAAGGAAAGAAAATGAATGTAAGCAAAACAAATCATGCAACCCCTTTTTAAAACTGTATGCATATATCATCCTATAACTGGTATAATAGGGTAAAATCATAATTTTATTCACTAGTCGTGATCGACAATAACATGAAATGCCCTTTATTCAAAAACCTTTAAACTTCAATAGCATCTGGTGCTCAGATAAGAAAGAAAATAGCTAAAATGCAGAGAAAGAGTTCTAAGAAGTTTCTCCCAGAATGTCACCAAATTTTAATAAATCTTTTCTTTTTTATTTATTATCTATACAAAATCTATCAATGTAGAAGAATTTCTTGATTTAGTCCTCCACCAAAATGTTAAAAAAGATTTTCTAATATATACACCTTATTGATCTGAATGTCACTTAGCATTATAAATTTTAACTTTAAATGCTAACACTCAAAAAAAAAAAAAACTTTGTAAAATATTATAATATCAAATATAGTTGTACATTAAGCCCCTACATAATTTGGCTCTTTCCTTTGTAAGAAAACCTCAAACAGGATTTAAGTTGCTGTTCAACTAAAATTTATTTGTCAAAAAGGGATAATTTTTTTCAAACACAAATAATAAAACATTAAAATTTAATTCAATCTCTCAGGAAAATGTTTTTGATTTTTATCTAGGTTAATTTTATATTCCCATACTATTTAACACCAACTTCTTTAAGTAAATTTCACAGAACTTATCCTTGAGGACAAACAAAGTATGTTTGTTACAAAATGAGGTACTATTTTAAACATTGTAAATGAATAGTTCCAAGTTTACTTACCATGATGTTATTATTATAATATTAGCTACATCTAAAATAATCTATTTTCTGGAATTAATATAAATATTGACAAATAATTTAGTTTAAGAATTCATATACAAATAACCTTAGATCAAACTAACAATATCCATTACCCCTTGTCCAGTTTTGGCTACTCCATCAACGTTTGTAATTGCGCTATCATCATTTTCATCTCGCTTCAATCGACACTCCTGGATAACATGATCCTTGAGTAGCTTTTGCAAAACTTCCTAAAAATACATAAATAATCATGTAAAAAATTATGCAAATGATTTAGTTATTCATTCATAAAAGTCTTTTGAACTGTATAAAAAAGAAAAGCAAAAGAAAGTTAAATATAAGTCAGGCCAAATAATAAATCACAATAATTAAAAAATTAATTAGAATTTTAATCATAAATTAATAAGAATTTAAAATATAAAAGATCTATATTTTATTTTATAAAAAATATTAATTAAAAGAACTTTATAGTACCCTAAAATTCCTACATTAACTTATAAAATATTCATGATACAGTTTGAACATTAATTGCAGCCAATAGATATTTAGAATTAAAGAAGAAAGAAAAAAGATATAAACAGAATGATTTTTTTTTTCAATTCTACTTTGCATTTAAAAAGCTGAATTATAAAATTATTTCATTAGATATTAATTTTTTTTGCTAAATTAAAATACTTCATTCCATCGACTATAAACTAAATATAAAAAAACTAGCTAATGATCAAAAATACAAAAATTAAAATCAAATAAATAGATGCTAATTATGAATCGATATTTATTCATTGTAAATAAATAAGAATTTTTAAGATGGAGAAAAAAGAAACTGGAAATAACTATTAAAAAAAAAAGATGTGAAAAAAATATGTGTATTAAATTTAATGTTAATGAGTTAATATGTCTGTGAAATTTTTCACATGTTATTTTTTTATGTGATTTTTTTTTATGTTATGAAATTTTTTATGTAACTAAAAGCCATCGAATTGACTGTTTCAGTTTATATAAAAGAATTATCATTAGCATTTGAAATAGAATAAGTTTTGAACAATGGTCCTTAAATATGACAGGCTATAAGTATTTCAGATTTTAAAAAAATGCTTTATTTATATGAGTCTAATATAGGAAAATAAAACTTTATATAGTCATTTAATATGAAAGGTAATAAGTAAATCATATTTTAAATATAAGAAAAGTATTTAGTTTATATATTTACAATACTGAATAATAAAGTCTTTCACAGAAGAAATATTTTTATATGGATGCTTTTTTCTGATCAAACAAAAGAATTACTGCATTAAATAAGATTAAGACAGCTATAAATTACAATCTCAACATGAAATTGTTCTCCATTTTGCACAGATGTAAAAAAAAGAGAAAAAATACAACACTTTTGATTAAGTTCAAATCTTTCAATGGCTCTTATAAAGTAATACAATAACATAAAAAAATTATTTCACATTAAATCTCTTTTTCTCCAATAAAAGCAAATTAGCTAACTTAAAAATGAATAATTTTATAGAATCACACACACACATATATACTTACAGGAAATTGGCTTTCTATAAAATATCTATTATGCTTCAATAACAGTTTTATCTTTCCATAACTAACAGTACAAAGCTAAAAAAAGAAAAATTGAATTAAATTCACATAATAAAATAAAATATTTGTGAACTGAAATAAAATAAAAAAATAAATGTTATTCACCTTTATAAATTCTACAATGCCATCAGGTATGCTGGTTTTACTAAGTCTTCTTAAATATTCAATAATGTCATTTGTTTGTAAACCAACAGACACAGCAGCATATAAAGAATATGCAGTGAGACGGTATTCATGAATATGTTCAGGACGACAAACAGGCTAAATAAAAATAATGCACTATATCAAAACAAAATTCATTGTTGGTTTATTCAACAAATTAATAAAAAACAAACGTATAATGAACAGATTTTTGAAGCTTCTTACTGGTTGTCTCAAAAATGGCCAGATGTTAAAAAATTGATTAAAGAAAAACGGGAGGAGAAATTAATGTACAATGTTCAGTTTAGGAAACTAAATAATTTATTTTCCACAAGCCTTAAAATTAATTATAAATTTTGTCGAAAAATGGTACTACTGACTAGGAAAAAACTATTAAACAATGCTTTCAAAATAGCCTTCATTAGCAGCAACAATGTTAAAATACTCAGTGTGAGACGTACATAATCAAATATTTAATTTAAAATGGTCTGGCATGCATAAGAAATTAAGCACTCAGGAAGTCCAGTTGGTAAAGGCATCATTCACTCTGTTGGTGAAGGATTGAGGCTATGAGTTTGATCCTGGCAGTTAACTAAACAATTACCATGTATAGGCAGCAAGGTGTATGTTTAATGTGGTTAGACTGAACTTTTTAACATTGGTTGAGGTGTGGATGATTGGAGAGACAGGTACCAACTCAGGTGCTGTCTACATTGTCTGACTGGGACCAAAATTACATTGCATTGCTTCCATAGCTGTTAAAAAATAAAGCCTTGAAAAATGAAGCTAAATTTTTGGATTTTTTTGAGTGGTGCGCAACTGAAATTAATGTTGTACAATCAGGAGCGCCATTTTCGACAAAATTTCAAACATAGTGCAAATTTTAGAATTCGTTGAGGATAAATTTTTTGGTTTCCTGAGTAAAATGCAACAGATTTATATATTTTATTCCTTTTTTTTTTTTTTGATTGATTATCTAAATTGTTGGTCATTTTTGGGACACCTTTTATCTTTGTTTCAATAGAGAAGAATAAAATCAAACAAATAATAACAGCTTATAACAATATAAAGTACATACAATAAATGAAGCAAAAATGAGACATTTTAAAATCAAAAGTTTCATATTAGAAAATAAGCAATAATTTTTCTTTCCCTTTTGTAGAATTACTATAGTAACTATTTAATCAAATTAGTATTTTTCTCACCCTTTAGTAGCTTATTGTAACTATGGAAATAATAATTAAGAACGTGAAAATATTTTTTTAGATTGAGTTAACAACAAAAAAATGAATTTCTGAAAAACAAAAATTAAAATATATATTTCCAAAAAAGACATTTTTTAACAAAAATTTTACAAACAAATATATAAATATAAAAAAAAAAAATAAACATGTTTCTTGAAAAGTTTATGAGCTCAAACAATTCAAATGTTATAAATTTTCTGTGTCACAATCAACAAAAACTCTTTTGGTAAAACTCAAAAGTTAGTAATAATCTTTTCTGCAATATTTTCAAATAATACCAAAAAAAAACATTTTATAAGAAAAAAAAACTATAATAAAAAGTTGTTAGTTTTTACAAGCAAATCAAGACATATTTTTATTTTACATTTCAGCTGAACTATTGCTATTGCACTACAATTTATGGATAGCTAAATACAATAAAAGAAGAAATTACAGAAGCATAAGATTTAGCACTATTTAGTGCCAAATCATTATTAGTATTATATAATGTAAAGGTATTACTAGTATAATATAATATGCAATTATTAGTATAATATAATGTAAAGGTAGGGCGGGTAACAGTCTAACAACAAGAATACTTTAATTAAGTAAAAATATAATATTAAATTTGATTTTAGTGTAGACTTTTAGTACTTACTATACAGTTATTTTCATGACATTCAGAAAAAAGGGATAATAAATAACTCTCAACTACAATGGAATTAAAAATAATACTGAAAACTGATGTTTATTTAGCTCATCATCAGACAGATCTTATAAAAATATGAAAGCACACAATATTTTTTATTAAATTAAATATTAATAGATACCTCTGATATAGCAATTAGGAAATCGTGAGCATGCTTGTACACTGGTGAAAATGCTTCAAGAAAAATATGGCCATCAGGTGCCTGTCAAAAAAATACAACAATTGAATAATGATAAAATAACTTATATTCAAATAATATAATTTATCATTATGTATCATCTTAAATTTAATAGTTACTTGAAATACTCCAATCAGTCTAATACATATTTTAAGAATACTTGTAATATATATATTAGATACAGAAAATAAGAATAAAATAAAACAGCACAAAAATTTATAGCAAACAATAATGGAAAAAAAAACTAATAATGACAAAATAGATAAACCAAAAATACAAGGCTGAGAATTGTAGTTTAAACATACCACCCATAAAGGACGAGAAGCATGGTCCATTCGTAGTTCCATAATTTTTCTGTAATCCTTGGCACCAAATTCATCTTCTGGTGTTTCTGAAGTAATCTGTTGACTAGCAGCCGCAGGTATGACATCTAAAACATAAATATATGTTTATTTATGTATAAGTTATACAGCATTGAAGATTGAAATTAAGTCTGTCACATGTTTAAAATGTTCTTCTATCGCATGTTAAGTCTGTTTTTTGTTTTGAAAACAATACACTTTGCAAATACATTAAAGTATTTTTATTTATTACAGTCTAAAATTGTTTTCCTGCTTCCATTTCCATTACTTTATGCATATTCAGATTCTAATCTAAATATTTAAATACTTATAAAATGGAAAATGAAGCAGCAAGGAGAGCAAAATGAACAGCATATGGAGCAAAACAGCTTGAGCATTTTTTTCCTCTTTAAAACTTCTAAATTACAGGTTTTAATTTTTGGCAAGAAAGAACTTTTAAGGAATGCAGTACAATTGAAAATTCTAGAATATTTCCAGAGATTCTGGGAAATTATAATGTTTTAAACGAAGAAGAAGGCAGCATGAAATGAAAAACGATGATAATGTCAAGTTTTGAATATTATGTAAACAAAGCATTACATCTTTGGTTAGTACAAAATATTACACAAGGACAACAACGAAGAGGGGACCGATGTCATGTGAAAAAGCTATGCTTTTCAATGAAGGTTCAAAAAAGATACAACATTTAAAGCGAGCACTAGTAGATTTAGGAACTTTAAATTCATTTAATCTGTAATTATTACTTCTGAAATTAAAAATTTGACTGAGTCCAAAAAATATATGACAAGTTTATCTGCAACGCTGATTGAAGTAGTGTGACGCTTATCGTCACTTAATTCAGAATCCCATTAAAACATTTAAAATAGATTTATCATAAATTCCAAAATAATTGATTAGATTTAAAATACTGTAGAAACTTCCATTAGTACATAGAACCTTAGCAAATACAAATAAACACTCATGATTAAAGCTAAGAAATACTTGCCAAAAAGGGTTAATCACAAGTCTATAGTCCAAGCTTGATCTCTTACGTGACCTTTCCAGAATTTAGCAATTGTTTTATCGAACAAAAAGGATAGTATATAAGATATAAAAAAAGACAACAGAAACGAAAAGAGTAGAACGGAGTCATTAGAGGTTCACCAACTTTCATTATGAACGTCAGTATGGATAAGTTCTCTCCATGCCAATTAGTTTATTTGTTTCTAATCAAAGCATTTTAATTAATTTAATTTGTTATTTTAATTTGTTACTGATTAAAGCATTATTAATTTAAGTATTTTAGATAGTTAAAGTATGTAAATGAATTCGACAATATATATATATATATAAATAAACAATCACTGGTTAAGATAAGTAGAGTTTGTGTCTTTAAACCACCGTAACAGTAGGCTCAACTGGCGCTCTTCGACCCGGAAAACATTATTATCTATAAACAAGAAATTTAGCTCAGGAACTGAAGTAAGCAAAGAAAGAATTACAATGCTAGTAAGTGCTGCTAATGTAACTAGAAATCATAACTTACTTTGTTAGTCATCTGTCACAGTTACACATTGTATAATGTTACAATTACTCTTTGATTTAAATCTTTTCTTTCAATTTTCATAAAACTTCATTTACTTTCTATTCTATAACAGCTTGAGTTTATTCCATGCAAAATGTTAAATGATTTTTCTTAAATTAGGGACCTTCCTCAATTCTAACATAAATATATTAAAATATTTTATTTGGCAAAAATTTCACTTTTCTTTTCAAAAAGAATCTTAACTCTCTATTTGCCATTTGTTTCTCTTTTTTCCTTCCATTAATTATTTTTTTTTTGCAAAGCTCTACCGCTCAGCCACCGGGCGTCTATTGTACAACCACATTATTCAATTATTCTTTATCCTAGTTCTCGCATTAATTTTGTTTGATATTTTCGTTGAAATTGATAAATTGCTTTTCTTCATTCAATCACTATATCCAAATACAAATTTTGTTCTACTTCAACACATTATATTATTATGATTGGGTTCTATTTAATTTCTGGATTTTATAGGTATTTAGTCTATTGTTTTGTTCACATTCAATCAATCTCATCCACTATTATAATATATATAAAACATATATTCAATTTACGACAACAACATGTACCATTTTAATTTATTTTTTTTTAACTCTAACATTCATCAGTCACTCAAAAAAGCCTTGTTCCTCCAAAAATGTGAAAACACTACTTGTTGTCTATACATATTAATATAAAACCTAGATAAAGTGCCAAATATCTGTCAAATGGTATTAAAAAAAAATTTAGTTCTGAAAAAAAAAATAATTTTACACAGCATTTGTAAAATGCTATTCATGATACAAATTAAGTTAGAAGTAACAATATTAAACAAAAAAGTTATATAAATTACCAGCTTCAGTTTCTTCTTCAGCATAATCGTCATCAAAGCCTTTTTTGTAAAACTTTTTCTTCCCTTTCTTCCAATCTAAAATAATTTTTTTTTTAAAACACTGATAAATTTTTATTTAAAAGAGGTATTTTTTTTAAAATTAAGATAAAGAATTTTATATTACAAATTCAGAAGAGAAAATTTTTTTTTTTTAAAAAAAAAGGCATCAAGTCTACTTATTTATCATAAATCATTTATAAGTAAAAAAAGAAATTTCTCTATGATAAAAGGAGTAAGAAAATGAAAATAAAAAATTATGAATTGAAAAAGTGGAAGAAAAGAAAGGGGGGAAAAAGAAAAAAAATTGTTAGGAATCATAATAAAATTCATTTTGATATGACATTATGACATGGATTCATCAAATTTGACTACACTTCATCGTCTGAAAAGGAATTTTTATGGTGCTTTTATAAATCCTAAAATTAAAAACTAGATTTAATATGAAATCTACTAATTATGAACTGTACAAAAGGGCTAGCACCTTATATACACATGGGGTTAGCAGCGAAAATTTGTAATAAGACCACAGGTTATTTCTTAAGATTTATTTTCATGTCTAAGCTTAAAAATCATACAGTCCTATATTGTTATTGTACTTTCGCTGCTTACAATTTTACATCCAATTTATTATTTCATTTAACTTTAGCTGAAGGCATACAAAACTGAAGATAACATTAAAAAGATGGCAACAGTTTCACTCTATTTATGCCGAGATATTAATTTCATTAAATAGTTTATGGCTCAAAGTGTTTTAAAATCTTAAAAAATATATAGTTATGTTTTTTTTTTCACATTTAAACACAAATATTAATAATAAAACTTACTAGATTATTTAGCATATTCGCATATTGTATCAAAAAACATTAAAGGATAATACCTGAAGTTTACAAAATTCTGCTTATGTTTTACAATCATGTAATTTCCTACACACAATGCCCAAAACATTTAATAACCTTGTTCATAATAATTAAATATAATATTTCATTTAATGTATTACAAGATGTATTTTTTAATTGAAAACAAGTTTCCAAGTTGAAGATATATTAAAAGAGAAATCGGTATAAGCATTTTGATCTTTAATCTACAAATTTTTTATGAGAGTGGCATAACTAAACTACCACTAAAAATATTAAATACCAATTTCCTAGTACAGTACAGAACCCGTTATCCGGAAATCAGAAAACCGGAAAACCAAAAAACCGGAACGAAATTTGATAAATTTTCCCGCAATTTTTAAAAAAAAATTTTTTTTTCCTTATAAGATTTTAGGATTTTTCTTTCTTTTTTAAAAGATGTTTACCTTACCATCATTTCAGGAATAATCATTAGTGTATTACTTCATCTTTTTTTCTTATTTTTAAGATTATTTCCAAATATTATTTTTTTTTAGTTGGGTTTAACACTAAAAAAACGGCTTTTTGTAGCGATTCAGAAAACCGGAAAAATCAGTTATCCGGAATAGCGATAGTCCTGATCGTTCCGGATAATCGGTTCTCTACTGTATATATAAGACAGGTTAACTTCATTCTATTTTGAAGTACCTTTTGATAGATGAAAGTTGACATAGTCGAAATATTATAACCCCTTAAGAATAGAAGAAAGAGCTATATGGGCATTATTATCATTTGTGTAGATTTATCTACGATATCAAGTTCTTCCACTCACTTATAAATCAAAACAAATAAAAGATATAGATTGGGCATTGGGAAATTATCAGCATCGAATCTTTCCATCACTTCTCCATACATTCAAAAATAAGTTTATAAAAAAACACCTTAAAGAAAGTGTCTCATAACACTTTGGCTTGCTGCAATAATAAAACTTTCTATAATGATAAGAAAAATTACACAATTTTTAATTTTAGACAAATTAAAGCAAATATTTTATTGCACTTAAAGGTAAACAAATACAAGGATAAGGCCACTTAAATACTCAGAACTGTCGTCGACTTAATATGTTGTTGTCTACTTACATTTAGAAGTTTTTATCACGCGTCTAGCTTAGTGAATTTGTTGGTAGACAACAATAATTGTAGGCATATAATTTCTAAAACTACTCAATGAGGGTTAATGATGTTTAGATAAGATTTCGGTAAATCTTAACTTTGTAAACTCTAATCTGATGCAGTGAGTGAGTGAGTATAAGATTCCTGTTTACATATTATTTCAAAATTAATTCAAGACATGTGCCAAATGTATAACTGATTGTCAATTTGATTACAATTAAATGATTTATAAACTTTTCATGTACCTTTATTAGTTTTTCCCATGGTTAATCATTAACTCATACACAGAAATAGAATTACTAAACTTTATTAGATGCAGTGAATGATTTTAAGATTCCGGTTCATATATTATTTCGTAATAATTCGAAACATACGCCAAATGAATAACTGATTGTAATTTTGTTTACAATCAAATGAATTATAAATTTTTTAGGTACCTTTGTTAGTTTTGCCCATGGTTAATCATTAAGCAGAAACAGATTTCCACTGATTTCAGTTAAAATCATAGATATAAAGGCAGAAGTAAAGGCAAAGGTAATCCCCTAAATTAGTCCCTGGTTAAAATGGATAGCACTAGTGTTGTCAAGTAAGTTACATGTTTATTTAGTTCGACGGGAAAAGAGGATTAAATAGAAACTGGATTAAATTCGGATGAGTTAAAGAACATTATGAACAAAGCTGTAAAAAACTGATTAAACAGTTGAATCCGTGTATTTTTATTTAGAATCGGAGTAGAAGTAAAAAAGATTTTGTTATTTAATTTTCTTTTATTGACACTTTTTTAAAATCAAAAATTGTATTCAGTGTATACAGTTTACATATTATTTAATGATAGGTTCTATGAAAATATTTATTTTTCTTAAATATAAAATTTTATGCTATTTCACAGTTAAAACTAATTTTACTTGGCATTTTTTTTTTGAATCTGGCAGTGTACAGCCTTATTTATAAACAAAATGAAAGTTCTTACCGTGGATTTGAATTTTCTATTTTCTATTACAATTAGATTTAATTTTCTTAAAATTTGAAAATTTTTTTAACGAAAAATTTTTTTATGCCACTTAAGGTGTATTTAGATGAGCAATAGCAAATATCAACTTAGATTTAACATGGAATCATCTATACAGGCTGGTATTTCAAATGTTGTTAAAAGTGTAATCATATTGTTCTTTGATTTTAAGCCATACTTTTTAACAGGTTCAGGCAACTAATGACAGTAGTATTGTTAGCAAGCTATCAGCTTCCAAATCTGGTTATTATGAAGATCCTTACCTAATTATGTTTGTGGATAGAGAGCAAAAGAGATCTTCTATTATTAACAGGTAGATAAAAATGTGACCTAGATAAATGAAATAAAGCATTTCAAACTGCTTTATAATGCATACATTTTAAACTGCCATAAACTAAGGAATTATTTTTTACTATAATTTTAAATAATTAATACGTATGAATAATTTAAAACTTAATTTTAATAATTGCACGCATTTGAATACTCACAAAGTTTGAAACTTAGAGTTATCTGCGTCAGATCTAAAATTCATATATCATACATATTTTCTGACTGTTCATGTGAAATTCTAGCAGTTCTAAGCATTAAAAAATATGTAAAATTCCTAACTTCAAACATTCTTTCTTACAAAACTGATATATGGACCTAGATTGAAAAAAGTAAAAGAGAAGTGTTAAAAGCAAGTCATAATTAGTTATGAAAGTAATAATAGTTATTATTCTTTAAGTAATATTACAAAATCATTTTAATTGTTTTACTGAATAACCTTAGAAATTACCAGGTAGTTGTTTAATTTAAAAAAAAATTAAATGTAAATTTGTGCTTGACTACAGCCTTAAATTTTGAAAGCTTGGTGTTGTAATTTAGAAGATTAAAAATTCTCAAATTTCAATAAACTTGATTTAAATTCCAAAAAAGTTTATAGAACTTTGATATATGTGGATAAATGAAGGTGTATGGTATTATCCCCATAGAAAAGTATAGAAGTCTCCTTCTAAAGCATTTTATTTATATTTTTCTGTCCACCACAAAATGAGTATAAAATAATAAGCATATTATATGATGGTTGCAATGAAAACAGAATTTGCCACTTTATTATATGTGTTATGGAATGTTAGTGTTTAACTATTTAGTATTCTACAGTTTCTAAATGAACAAATAACAATTTACTATTTACCATGTAGAACTCATCTTGTGATGCATAAAAATTATCTAAATTTTAATATAAATTTAGATGTATGAAGTACAAAAATTTCTTTTTCATAATTACTTAGAGCAATAATTAAACTACCTTCTTTATCTGTTAAATATTTGAATTTGGATGGGTCTCAAATTGAGCCATGTTTATGTATAAGAAAAATTTTGTTGTTTATGATATTTGGTTTTTATTTGAAAATCCAAGAAGGTTTATTCTTCTACTGCCCCAAATATTGTTAAGATGTTTAACATATTTCCTCCTAAAATAATTCCAAAAATAATATAAATTCTTTCACAACTAAAATATTTTTCTTATCTATCTTTTCTTGTTTTAGAAGTTTTAAAGTTATAGTCTTGACTAGCATTTTATTTATAGCAGTCACAATTTTGAACTTTATTTTTCCTTTTATTTAAATAAATAAATAAAATACTATTCAATATTTGTATTAGATATTTCTAAAAATATGGTTTTGTTTATTTTATACAAAACTTATATTCTCTTTAGAGGTTATTATATAAGATTCAAGGCAATTGAAATGGTGTTTGAATCATGGTTTTCACTAATGTCATCTCTACAATTTCCAAAATCTCAGGTAATTACTTTTTTGTTGGTTTTTGATCCTTCAAAAAATTCATTTTCAATGTAATCTTCCCAAAACCATTATCTTGAAAGCTTAAATATGTTCTTATTATAAAATTACTTGAATGTGTTTACTTTATAGATTATTAAGCCATTTAATGTATGAATATTTAGAAGCAATTTTAGTTTTATTATTATTAACTGTCATTATCTATTTTATGTCTACTCTTTCATTTCTTCAATTTTTATAAATATGCAGGTTAATTCAAAATTCTTGTACAAAAATTTATATGTAAGCCAGGATCTTGATAACAAGCAAGAATCAGTAGCAAACACATTTCTGGTGTGCCACATGCTTAAAAGCAGAAAGATGGGAAGATAAATGATGATAATTTATTACTCAAAACTTTATTTTTTAAAGAAAAAGTAAGTTGTGAAGCAAGTTTTCAAAATTGGGACCTGCATCTGTAATAAACACCTCATAAAATTTTCTTTTATGAAAAAATTTTGTGTTAACTCATTATTGTGTAATAAATTATCATTTTTGTGGTTTACCTCACATTTTGCAGTCTGACTTTGTGATCATGTGTGTTTGCAGAGATTCCTATTTAATTCTTGCTTTTTGTCATCAAGTTCCTGGTTTACATGTAGATTTTTGATTAAGAGTTTTGAATTTCCCTACATATAAGGACCGAAATAATAACATAATGAAAGAAAAAACTATAGCAATTGTCTGCATTATAAAGCTGAAATAGTTATAAAAGATAAATAATAAGAAATGAACTGAAATTTTGAATTGAAGAAAAACGCAAAACACATATATAAAATAAAAAATATTGTTTTTAACAATTTGTTCTTAGTTATTTAATTCAAAAAACCTATGTTTTTCATATTACAATATTTAATGGAAATCTGCTGTGCCACAATAATTAAAGGAAGTTTTTCTCACTTTATTAGCTTTTAAAGGTAAAAAAATTTATTATAGTTATCCATGAAAATAAAAAAATAAAAAAAAGACTGACTAATAGGAAAAAAACATTTTAATAACTTAAACAAAACTTTAAAGCTGAAAACCTCATTTTTTCGTACTACTGATATTACTGCGTTGTCAGGAAAAAGTGAGGATAAAACAATAATAAAAAAAACAATGCTTATCTGACATTGAGAATTCTAGATCTCAAGTTGTGGATAATTGGGTTTTTACTATAAATGCTTCAATTTGCTTTGAATTTTTATCTAATTCTAAGCTTGCATAAAGAGTTACTTAATTAACATATATAACTAACTTTTATGTCTCAAGTAGCCAGGATGGCTTAAAACCTGTAACTGTTGCATAGCTTTAGCTCTTTGTGCACTTATCACTTGTATCATAATATCCTTCTTCTAAAATATTAAGTTGCTTTGGTCCTTGAATTTATTCTAGTACTATCTTTGCCTACAAAATTTACATAATTACACATAACATTTACATAATAACTTATAACCACTATTTATTTCTTGACAAATAACTGTTGTAGAATATTTATCTCAGAGATTTTTAAAATATAAGGCAAGTAAAAATTTATCTTTTTTTATTCTTGAGTGTTAAGACAATTATATCTTTAAAATTCTGGAACATTTTTATTTTAGCAAAATAAAATTTATTGTTGTTGTTGTTTATTCAAGTAAGGTTTTTTACTTAAAAAACCTCTGTTTTTGTTAATTTTTTTTACATACAATTAAATTAAATATAGCATTGTAACTTAGTTGATTTAAAAATTATCAACTAAATTATTCTCTACTCCTTCTGCATTGGCAAAAACATAAAGAATTTATCTGTAGTTAGTTGCATAGGGGAAAAAATATTGAATTTTTTCTATTTGATTTTAGTTTAATCATTCTTAATTTTTCTTTCTATTTTAATTTTTATTTAAGGCAATAAGAATTGTGATTTATGTTTTTTCCTGTAAGTTTATAGATATTATGCTACATTTTTGGAAGTTATTTAATTCTTTTACTGATTTATTCATTTTATTGCAGATAATTTCATTAGGTGCTGGATTTGATACTTCATACTTTAGACTAAAACACTACAAAAAGTTGCCTCCCAACTGCAGATATATTGAAGTAAATTATTTTCAGCTCCATCTTAATAAAAAAATTTGCATTGTGAATTCAAGGAATTCCGTAAAGGCATAATTGAAGATATTTAATGCTAGAAAAATCTGTTGTTGGGTATATCAAAATTACTTATTAGAATAAATATTTTTTATAGGTTTGTTTGCTTATTTAACCCTAATGTCTCTTGTACAATTAATGTAACCTCAAATCTATATATCTTTTAACACATTATTTCTTACACTGAAATTCCAAAACTGGATTTATTCCTTTTTTAAATACAGCCCAATCTGTACAATGCTTCTAAATGTGATCTTGATTTCATCAACTTTTCTAAAAATTATATTGTTTGACAAGTTTTATTATATCTATTTTGATTTTTTTTTTCATTCACAAAATTTTTTTTTTCTTCATGAAATAAATATTAGTTTTGCTTTCCAGTTAAAGATTGTGTTGTTTATTGTATTAGTAGTTAGAATCTGATTCTTAATGTCGTATATATGTTTTCATGTATTTCTGTTATTTTTATAATGTTATCAAAAATGAATTTTAAAACTTAAGCAATTACATGCAATGACTACTTCATACTAATTTTAGTATTTTTTTTCCAGGTAGATTTTTTTCCTGTAATGAGTAGGAAGAAATATTGCATTGAAAAAAATATTTCAAAAATTTCTAATTTTGAACTCTTCTTTGATTTGGCTGAAGATAAAATAGGTATTCTTATAGTCAGTGGTTTACAGTTATTTCATGACAAATTTTATAATTATGTTAAAAATATTATTTTTGTATTTATTAATAATTAGTATTATTCTTAAAGATTAACAATCTTTCTAATATCTTATGTTATTTATTTATAATTATTATTTGAATACTTGATTACAAGGTTTCATTAAGAAAAGTGCAAATTTTTTTTTAAACCTGATTGATAAATCATTGATCTATCTCTTTAAACTTAGTCTAATTTGGTTTCATGTTTAGTTTTTTATCAAAATTCATTCAAACAAATTTAACATCAGTTTTTAAGCAGCAACTCATCACATTTTTACATTTTCTTAAGTGACATTTTTCTTAAAATTATGTCAATGTTTCTTCCGCTAAATGAACTTGTATTTAATTCTTTGTTTAAATTTTTACAATAAAAATTAGACATTTTTATTTCACTCCTTGGAATAATTTTAATTAGAACTTAGTATTACCTTAGAATTATTTTTTGAAACACTAATTGATTCATTACGAATCAAAACAAAAAAATTTATCCATCATTTAGATTTTAAAAACAATAAATATATTTTATTATTAATGTATCAATGCTACTATTTTTACAGTTGAAGAAACAATGCAAGTCATTTATAATTTTAAAAAGTAATAAATTTTTAATTCAATTTAAGTAAATTACAGTCTTACCAGTGCGCTCTTTCTAAATATACTCTCAATCACTGTGCCTTATTCATCATCTAAGCAATTTTTCAAGTTTGAAAGTTATGCTGAATAATGTTTAATTTAATCCTATAAGTATTATGAATATTTTTATGCCTATTCCATGGAAAGAATTCAATTTGTATTAAAAGATAGCATACATTTTAAATCATTTGCGAAAGCGGACAAGGAAAAGTCAAAAATATGGTTGCATTTTAGGGAAAGCTTTACAATTTAATGACACTGTATTTGGTCTCTTTTATTATTTTTTATGTTTTTATCTTATTTCAATATCATAAAATCAAGCATTGGAATTTTGTGCAATATTATGATATTAATATTTTAGTTGCATCAAATGAGGAATATTCAATGCTAGGAATAGATTTGAGAAATACTTCTGAACTGGAAAAAACTTTAAAATGTTTAGATGTTGATTTTACATCACCTACTTTATTTCTGTCTGAATGCGCAGTGACATACATGGATACTAAAAGGTTTGCATTTAGAATTGTCTGGAAATTTGTTAATTGTTTGTTATTAAAAATATACAAATAAAATAAGAATGCTAGTTTTTTTTTTACAATATATACGTTTTTTTTCCTTCATTTTTTTAAATGTATGATATTAACTTTTAAAATGTAGCTGCTTCTATAATTAAATGAAAATTAACAAAAAATATGTTCCCATTTGTAGCATTAGTTAAATAAAAATTTTTTTATCTCATTTGAAAATGATTTTGAATTGCATAATAATTTTTAATTTAGAATTTTCTTAAAAGGAATTTAAAATTGTTAATAGAAAAAAAAATTGAGTCATTTTTTTTGCTTAAATGTAATTTTAATGTCCTTTTTTGTTACTTTTAATTTCAAATAATGTAATTTTTTTTTTTTTTGTATTTAGTTATTCATTGCTGAACCGATCTTGCAGTATCTTCTAGTCTGGTTTTTTTATTATTAAGTCGGAAAGGAAAAATTATTATATCATCTAAAATTCTAAAAATTTCTATTAATGTTGTGTAGGAAAATTCTGATGCTGTTGTCTTAGAAAATCTGTCACATTATATTCAATTAATCCTTATATTAAATAAATATTGGTTTCTTCCAAATGTTGATGTTAATATTAAGTGTTTTATCATTTACTTAAATTTTTTCATTACTATGTCATAGAATTTTTGATTATGTTTTAAACGCATGGATGAGATTTTTTAAAAAACCAATGTAAAGTACATAAAATTAGGGTAAAGATAAATCTAATTACTGAATACAATGTACAATAATGTTTCTGAAAATGAAGACCTGGCTCAGTTTTGCTTCATTTTGGCATTAGAAATTATTCCTGGAAAATGGATTATTTATAATTTTTATGTGCCATTTTGAAGCAAACTTTGAAACTATTCCGTAAGCAAAGTAAGCAACAAAATTGTCTTACCATACTGAATAAGAAATTGATTAGAAATTAAATATATTGCTTGAAACACTGCATGGTAGTAAAACATTAAAAAAAATTATAATTGCTGGAGGGTTTTTAATTTGAAAATTATAACTTAATCTAAGCAATGTGAAAAAAGGAAAAATAATACCACTTGCATACTATAATTTTGGTTCTTTAATTAAGAACCTATTTTCAGTGCCAAAGTACAGATTCTGTTCCTCTACACAGAAGAAAGTTTTTCATTATAGAACTAAAAGTATAGTGTGTCTATTCATGTGACATTATTTTTGCTCTCTTCAGATTGTTCAGTTTTATTCAAAGCACAAAGTTAACATAACTCATTCTTCACTTGGATTATTTTTTGTATCTATGCTAAACAAATTGCACTTCAATTAGTTATTTTACATTTCAGATATTAATTATATCTTAACCAATATATAAGATTTGTAAAATAGTTGTGCATGTTATTGTTTATAATTATATATACATTATGTCCTGTGAAAGTTGCGACAATTTTCTAGCAGAAGTAGAATACATCATAAGGATTAAGAATTACCTAGAAAACCATAACCAGAAATGCCATCTTATGCTGCTAGGGGCGCTTTTCTATTATAGACATGTTGTTCATGTGCCTTTGTACTTGCTCTTTTATTTTTTTAAAATATTTTAATTTCATATTGATTTTATGTTACTATTTTATTTTACTTTATAATCATTGTTCAAAAGCTGACTAATTTTGGGTTTATGTCTACTCATGTTCAACTCCGTAGCCTTGTAATTTTGAACCCAATCCAGAAGACCAAGGAACTCCTCGATCAAATATTGAATGCTGTTTTTGATGGAACTTGCCCGCCTTTGCGTTACATGGACACAAAAACCTCACATGGTTATCCTGTCGGCAAGGGGTATCTAACGTATGATCTGTCTGCCACTGTGGATATTTTAAGTCAGCACTGTGGTCGGTGCAAGTGTCTCCTCATTGGAAGGCAAAGTAAAAATCCATTAAAATAGACTCAGAAATGCTGTTTTATCATAATTTAATGACTGAACGACCTTGTCCAGTTAGTCGTCAAATCATTAAATTATGATAAAACAGTTAACTCTGTACCAATTTGAAAGCAGTTTTTGACAATAATTAATGGAAAACGAAAAATTTAAATAATTTAGATAAATGAAAGTACCTGATGTTCAAAAGCACGCGATGTAGCTGTTCGTAATAAGACAGTGCCCTTAACGGCATACAATAACATTTCTAGATAATTATCCTGGTTTCTAGGTAATTCTCAATCATTATAATATGCCCTATTTCCCCTAGACGTTTGTCGCAACCTTTCCGGAACATCCGGTATGTATATACATATATATATATTCTTTTGCAGTTCAGATGGTCTTATTAAATGGATTCAGAAGCATTTTCCTAATTCAGCATTTGTTGCTTATGAACAGGTAATTTGTCATTTAAAAAATATCTAGTGTTTTGTGTAACTGGTTTATTCACTGTGCTTTCAGTAAATTCATTTTAATATGTAGCATTGCAGCAAAAAGAGCAGGAATTATTTTCTAATTGTTAAATACTGAATTTAGGCTGCCATAGTTATCCTTTTTATTGTGCGTTATAAAATGATTTTTTAAAAATAAAATAAAAAGTTTTTAAAATTTTCTCTAGGTGTATCCTTATGATGGATTTGGAATTGTTATGTAAGTAAACATTTTTAAATTTTTATAAATTTAAAACTTTAATTTTTTGGCTTTAATTTATGTGCAGTATTAAAATTTAGTAACATAATTACTCATTTGTGAATTATTATTATTAATATTATTTATCCAGAACTGTGTAAAATTTCCTTAAAAGCTGACAGGTTTCTTAGTTTAATATTTATAATAATTATAGGCTGCATTGCCATTTTATTAAATAAGTGGCACCACTTAATGTAAAAAGTATTTTCCCACAAATATACATTTTCAATAAAATAAAAAACGTGAAAGTGGTAACTGATGCATTTATTCAACACTGAAAAGTCAAATTAGTTGTAAATTTTAGCATTTTTTAAAACTTGTGTTTCTTATGCATATTATTAAATTCGCTTCAGGGATCTTACTATATAAACTATACTCATGTAATATAATCATATAATACTCATTACAACTGTACAATATGCATACGTAGTTAAGTCTCGTTAATTAGAGTCTCATTAGTTCGAGTTTAGGAAAAATTTGAATTAAGGGGAAAAATAAATTTTATATTCATAAAATTACCAACACATACACAACATGTAAAAAAATTACTACATCCGCCTTCCAAAACCATCTTAACCATGGATGACATGTGTTTGTGTTCAAAAGAAGAAAAACTAAATTATTATTTGAAACTTTCTATTCTAAAGTGTTACAAGGCTTGAAGAAAAAGAATATTATTGCAAATTTCTACAGTCTCTTTTACAACTCCCATAAAATAAGAAAACCATTGTAAGAACTGCTTATTCTGGTCACTATATCACATAAAAATATCATAGTTGAAGCCCTATTTTTAAGAAAAATTAACTTAAAAGCAAAAACTTGTATCCGCTTTCTATTCCATAATATACTGGTTCCTGAAAAATTAGTCCTAACTCCTAGACATCCTCCACAGAGAAGAATGTTGTGTATTGAGTACTTATGTTATCAAACACTTTTAATTTAAATATACTACACTTAAGTTAAATATTAATTAAACGCATTAAATACACATTATTACAAAGTAGTTACACCCTTTTATTTTTTTACAAATCCCTGAGGATCTCTAGGTCTGATATTATATCTCGGTTCTCCCACATCTGACGAATCAGATTCTGATAAAGAATCATTTAAAAATGGAATGGGTGAAATAGATGTATCACAAAAGAAATGATATGAAGAATTACTTTCTTCACTTTGAGCATCTGTTTGTACATCACGATTTAATTGAGCCCTACAGGGCTGTGATACAAAATAACCAAAACTTAGTAATTCTTTCTCATTAATGGGCTTCATTAAGGCAGGGTATAATTTTTTATCCTCAGCAGGGTGTCTAACCTCACACCCTTTAAGGTTATCATCACTAATTACAGAATTCTCTTCCTCAAATATGGAAGACGATGGAAATATTTCTTGCTCTGGAATTTTTATTATACGATTGACATGAGATGTAGTAGTCTTTAATGGGTTAGCTACTAAAGTTAATTCGAAAAGGACAGGGGAAAATTTTTTGACACCCTGTAAGGACCATGGTTTAATTTTGAGAGTTTTTTCGAGGTGTGAACTTTAATTTTAGGTGTATGAAGATAAACCAAATCACCTAATTTTATATCTTTGATATGTCTAGTTGTGGCAGTAGAAGCAACCTGGTTATCAGCAGCTTTCTCTAAATTTTCTTTTACAATGGCAAATGCCTGTTGCAATCTAGGAATCANAATTTGTAAAAAAATTGTTAGTATTGAACGAGCTGTATACGAAATTGTAGCTAGAAACGAAAAGCAAGTAAAGATTACTCATTTTTTCCATTAATTTAACTGGTAGGTGTCAATTTTTAAAAATATGCATAGATTTTTCTTAACCCCGATTTTACGTTATTCCGCTTCAAACGTTTTTTATCGCTAGTCCGACAGAAAACGTAAAATCGGGGTTTCACTGTATTAGTAAGGGGAAGAGCTAATTTCGAGTAATTTGGTATGAACCTACAATAAAAGCCTGTCAAACCAATAAATGCTCGCACCTCACATTTACTCTTAGGAGGAAGGGCCCTTTGAATAGTCTGAATGTTTTTAGGATCTGGCATTACTTTTCCTTCTATAACACGGTGACCAACATAAGTTACTTCATCTTTTAGCAAGGAGCATTTTTTTGGTTTTAACTTTAGGTTTGCCTGATTGAGACGTTCAAACACAATACGCAGCTTTTCCATGTGCTCGTCAAATGTTTGACTTGCTATGATGACATCATCAATATAGCAGCCAATAGATAAGTCTGACAAACCGGCCAATACAATGGACATTAGTCGTTGAAAACTAGAACTGGCATTTTTTAAGCCAAAAGCCATGTGTGTCCTTGCCTTTTCCCTCACCTCCTCTAACCAAGCCTTCAAAGCATACTCAACTCTTATTGGCTGTTACCACCATCACAAAATAAGTAGGGCTATACTTGCTATTTCTTTTTTATTTTTATTTTTGGCTAAATTATTTAAGGGCAGAAGGTGAAGACATATGAAAGAGAAACTAAAACTTTAAAGTAATTATAGCAGTGCAGAGCAGTGCAGCAAAGATAAAAGTAACAAAACATCATAAAAGCAATACCACATATATATAAAAGTAACAAAACATCATAAAAGCAATACCACAAAAAACTTGTATCTGCTTTCTATTCCATAATATACTGGTTCCTGAAAAATTAGTCCTAACTCCTAGACATCCTCCACAGAGAAGGATGTTGTGTATTGAGTACTTATGTTATTAAACACTTTTAATTTAAATATACTACACTTAAGTTAAATATTAATTAAATTAAATAAAGTCGATAATTCAAGTTTTAGGTATTGTCTTTAATATTGTAATTGCTGCTATAGTGGATTTTCAATCTGAAAAATACATTATTAATTATAAATTCGTAAAAACCTTATTAAATTACAATTGTATTGATTTTATGTATTTTTTTTTTAATTTTTACCACCCTTATTTTGCAATATAAGTATATGGTTTTGTTCTCTTTTTTTACATACTAATTTTCATTTCTTAATTTTAGCACATTTCATGCTAGCAACTTATGCAATAATTTTCCAAAACTTTTTTTTTACTTCCATAAATTAAAATTTAGAGAAGTAATCTTTTATCAAAGCTTGTGCAAATTTGTTTAGTTGCAACTTCAATTAAAATTATTTTGTGTTAAACAATTGTAATAATTAATACAAATCTCCTGAATCATTTACATTTGGAATAATAACTGAGGGAAATGGAAATAACCCTTTTTCTACTTTTTAAACATATGTTTGGCAGCTGCAATTATGTATAAACATTTTGCATTTTTAAAAACGTATTTTTATGTGTCTGTCATTCAATATGTTAAATATCATGAATATAATTTTTTACGTTTTTCTAGGAGGAAACATTTTGATATACTTGGGTGCCCTCTTAAATCTCTGACTTCTTTTCCCTCTAAAGAAGCTCAGTTAGATAGATATAGTAAGATGGTTAGTTGTGTGCCTTACCTTATTATTTCTTAACTTAGCAATATACTTTTATATTGTTTCGTAGTTGTTTTAATTATAATTGGAAAGTTCCAAATTTACATTTACTACTTTTTAATAAAATAATTCTTAATTTATCTTTCTTAGACAACAAAACTTTAAAACATATATGATCTGTTATACTTGTTGCTTTTGCTGTACAGTATTTTTTCATTTAGTTTTATAATTCTTTTGACTAATTTTAAAATGACAAACTTTAATTTACTGCTTAATTTATAAATAACTTCATTTTGCTTTTTTTTTATTAAGATACATGTTTTTTTAGGGTTGGTCCTCCTGTTCTTCTTTATTAATGTCTGATTTCTTTAATGGATTTTCTCATAAAGAAACAGAAAGAATTCAATCCCTTGACGTGTTTGACGAATATGAAATGTGGCATGAAAAATGTCACCATTATATTCTGTTATGGGCATGTCAAGGAATCATTGTGTTGCCTGAAGCATTCTACCAAAAAAGTAAGACTTCCCTGTCTATTTTTAAAAATATTTTATTATATATTTTATTAAAAATTAAGCATTAAAAAAAAAAAGAAAAAGTATGAAATAAATTATATAATTTATCCATGGTATATTAATGTAAAAGTATTTTACTTGTATTTTGCTTTGATGATATTGATACAATATCAAAAAGCACCTTTTATGGATGTAACTGTAAACTGTAACCTTTTATGGTTCAAGAAAGTAGTAGCATCCTTTTGCCAATTAAAAAATATTTTAACTACTTTATTATTTTTTGTCAGTGTCCTGATTTCTGTAAATTGTTTTCATAGTGAACATAATATTTAATTCATTCTGTACTACATGATTTTTTTAAATAAAATATGTTAATTTAACTTTTAATCTCTTTTTATTATTAACTTAATTTTAGTGTTTTTTATTATTAACTTAGTTTTTCTATTTAGTGACAAGCGGAATATAAATTTTTTTGTTGCAAGAAAACATCCCAATCTTGCTTGAAATTAAGTTTAAAATTGATAATATGATTGATTAACTGATTGATTAATTGATTGATTAATTGATTGATTAACTGAACAAATAATTCACATTATTTATTCAGAATGTAATTTTATCAGTCAAAGTAACATTGAACAAATCTATCTATCTCTTAATGCAAGCATATTGTTTTATTAATTGCAAATATATGGATCACGAAATTATCTGTCTGTTCCAAAATGAACTCGAACTAAATTAATTTAATGAATATTATTTATTTTTCTAGTTTCGTAGAAGAATACATTTTTCTGGTTGCATAATTAATTCTGTAACTGTCCAACTGTCTTGGCATATTTGTTTAAAAGCAATTCTCACTGTTTTTCCAATTGAATTTCAACTGAAAAACATGTACAAAAACCAGTTTTGTTGTACAGAAGAAGAAGCGAAGAACAGTTTTAAGAAAATACTACTTTTTCCCAGTCCTATTGTACTATAAGAAGCAAAGTATACTTTTTTTACGTTAAGAAAAGTTTTTTCATTTGGATTTTTAATCAAAAAAAAATTTTTAGTTTATGCAATTTTGCTTGAATGTTTTTTTTATTTATTATTATTTTTTTTGTTTTAGGTTGCCAACTCTCCAAAGAACTACGATTTCCACAATTTAACTGGAAACTAACGCCAGCTAATATTTTGTGCAAAAGGTAACTTATATTTTAGGCAAACAAAACTTTTCTGTACTAATGAAAACATTTTCATGTGTGAAAACATTTTTGATGAACTGTCCATCAGATAGAAATTATAGTTGCTTATAAGTAGTTTATAAATTAACTTTTTATCTAATATTGTCAAATATCAATTAAATTTAAATTATAGTGTTTCTAAAGTTTCTATTAGATAGAAATTAATGTTGCATATAAATTGTATAATGAACTTTTTATCTTGTAATCTTTCTATCATATTTTAAATATGGTTGCATACCTATAATTTAAACTTTTGATATTCTAATAATTGAAAATATCAATCGCAACACTTTTCACACTTTATTAATTTTTCCATGAATATGTAGGAAAATAAAAAAATTACATATTTCTCTTAAAACTATGTGTTTCAATGTTTTATGCTCATGTTCTAATGCAATCAACTCATAGAATTTATTTCTTATCTTACAAATGTACGTATCCTATATTAGTTATTCATATGATTTCTTAGAGTAGCAGTAAATTCTTTTAATTGTGTGTTGTTTTAGCCTTTTTTCATTCATAAATATTTCTCAAAATAACTTTTTGAAGGTTTGGTCACCAAGTAATTTTACTATCTCCAGATTGTTTACTGTTATCAGGTGGATTTGGTCTTCAAGATAGAAAACATCAAAGAATAAGTGGCTTGACTTTATGCAAAATAAGCTCTCTGGATTGCTTCTCTATATGTTTATCTAATATTCAAGACGTTATTGGTAAGTACGTTTTGTCGCAATTCTATTCCATTTTTATTTTGTAATTTTAGAGAGCAGAGCTATTTACTCCTTTGCCATTTGACAGCCTTTAATAATAGATACTCGATTATCTGTTTGCTTAACAAGCAGAATTCAATATATTATCTAAACTTGTGTGAAATTGCTTGAATAAATTCTGAGTAAATCTAAAAGGTTGACAAACATTTTATGGTACTTCATTAAAAAATCTTATTGATTTCTATTCTATTCCTATTAAAACAGAACAAATAACATTTTTTCTCTGTTTGCGTAGTAGATAATAGTTATTTTGGGTAGACTTGAAGTAGATATAATTCTGAAACCAGTGCCATTGCTATTTTTTTTTAAAAAACTCCAATTTTGTTTTATAAAAAATTGTTGAAAGTTTAAATTTTTGCATACAAAGATTTTTCCTTTAAATAAAGTAATAATGGGGCTTTCTCACTTTAATAAAGGTGCTTTCAAAAAATTTTCCAAAATGTTTTCCTACAATAATACAACACAATAAAAACTGTACACTTACAATGTTTTTCTTTATTGCAATTTAAAGATTTTTCTACATTTTAATGATGGTGCTTTCTAAAAATGTTTCAAAGTGTTTGCCTTTAGTAATATAATACAACAGAAAATGTAAATTTGCAGTGTTTTTCTTTATTTCAATTTAAAGTATTTTTTCATTTTATTGATAGTGCTTTCTGAGAATTGTTTTAAAATGTTTGCCTTCAATATTCCAATACAATAAAAAGTATAAACTTACAACTTTTTTCTTTATTGCAATTTAAATTGTTGACCAAAAAGAGTGAAATGAAAAATACAGTAATTAATGGGAGTCAGAGTTTTTTTTTCTAAATAGTTTTCTCTTTTGGACTTACTACATTGTCCATTTTTAGTCCTCACTTCATACTTTGAATTTTAGTATACAAACAATTTTTTATTAATTTCATTTTAATTGATGTTGAATTAAGTTCTTTAAATTTTTCATAGGCAAAAGAATGTTCCACACTGTCAGTTATTTGTCTGATGGTACTGCTGTTGTCTTAGGAGGGCGCTCAGCTCCAAAAAAAGTATTTGAAAAAGTAGTAACTTTCAGATTATTCAAACAAGAACACCAAATAACTGAGAAAGATTTAAAGGAAAATAAATTCCTTCAATCCATTTCTGTTGAAGAAAATGGAGATATGTGCCATGGCTCATGGAGACATTCTGCATCTGTTGTTAAAATTAAAGGTAAACCTAATGCACAGTTGTAAGAATTTATTTAATGAATCTAGTAGGAAAAAAAATGCCAAATGACATTCTGAAAATGTTAGAAATTTTAGGTTTAAAGACATGTTATTTATAAGCTTTGAATTTTGAGTGCTGAATATTTATATTATGACTAAATCTAAAATGCCTGTTGCTATTTACTTTTAAAGCTGATGTTCCTAAATTCTCTAAAATGTTACTCGCACTTCTCCTGGTAAAGTCTTTTGTAAATTTTAGTTTTGGTTATATTGTTACTTTTTCAAAATTTTAAATAAAAGAATAGCAATGATTTATCCAATCAAAGTATGAAATTGATTTAAACAAATCTTAAGATAAGAACTTACAAATAGTATGTTAAAAGGGAAAAGTGCTAAAAGCAACTAAAACCAAATTTGTCTTGTGTAAACAATTTAAATAAAAAGTGGACACACCGGAGTGTGTTCCCTGATGAAGTGCCGTTTTTACTAAGATACATATCTTTGCAAAAAAAAAATTTAGCTTGATTTTGGTTTTTAACTTTTTATTTAAATTGTTCATACTTTTTTACATACTAATTTTGCATACTTTTAAAATTGAATGTTAAAGATTTTGTTGAAGGTTTGTTTTATTCACTCTGAACTATAAAATAATTTTAATGGATGAATAAACATCTTAAAATAATGAAGTCTTAAACTTTTTAAAAAAAATTTTTTTCAGAAAAATGAATTATTTGCTTTGAAATTACTTAATAGGTTATAAACCGCCAGTGTCTTGCCCTTTTAGGTGTGGTAGAGTTTATTGCCCAATGTATTATTAATAAACATAAGGTATTAAATTTGGCTAAGTTTATGTAAAAATTTTTAGACATATTTTCATCTTAGTATAATCATATTAGCATATTTTCATCTTAGTATAAAGGGCTATTCTTATGGAAATTGAAATATTTATATAATTTTATATTTACAAAGAGTAAGTATATTATATTGCAAGTATTATATTACAAGTTCTTTCACCTGGCACCTTAACTATCTTTACTTTTTTTTTCTTATTACTTATGTTTTAACCGAATTAAATTTCTATGTCATTTAACACTCTAGGATTAAGAAATCTCCAGTAAATCGCTTTCCTAAAAAAAAAAATTTTTTTTTGCAGATTCAGATTGCATTGTAATATTTGGTGGTTCATCAGCTAAAAAAATTGCCACTGATAAATGTTGCATCTTAAATACAAGGGATTGGATTTGGACCGAAGTAAAAAAACTTTTCATTTTTCCTTTCTAAATGTATGTGTAGTGTTGTAAATAGTGCAAACGGTGATTCAAAAATTGCCTAATTACCACTTTTTTCATTGAAAATGATTTATTTTTTTAATAAACTTAGAGTTATGAATATTTTATAATATTCTGAAAACTACTCTATTTTGTACTTGTTTTCAAAAATGTTCCTCTTAGAAATGAAACTTATAATGTTAACCATATTTTAAGAAGTGCTTCAAGAGAAATGCATGCATTATAAATATCAAATTTTTTTTAAATTTTTAAAATTTTTAATTGCTTTTAAAATGTGGCCAAATATTTTTTTAAAGCCATTGTTAAAAATACTGTTACTAGCATTGGCCAGTTGCAAAAAATTAATTTGTCCCCATAACATTGATTCTGTTTGCTGAATATGCTTAATCTGGAAATATTTAAAAAGTGATTGAGTAAAGATAAGGAAACAAAATGTTTGAATTAATTACTACCTGCTAAAATAATATTTGAAAATAAAAGGAAATATATCTATAAGTTAAAACTTACCAACTTGATTTTAAAAAAATCTGAAGAAACTAAAACTTTTAAATCTCGTCATGTTAAATTATTGTTACTATTTCTTTTAATCTCTATGATCTGCCTGTTGTGCAAGGTAACCCAGAAAGTAAGTTTCTTTTTGCAACACAAGAAAAGAAAATAATCGGGGAGATTATTATTAAATAATGAACTAATTAAATAATGTATTGAAAGGGTAAGACTTTTTTTGACATTGATACCTCTGTTTAAGCTATATAATAGTGAGACATGATTGTATTCTGACATATATAACTCTTGTATTCATTGGTATTCATACACCCTTCTGCAATATCTAAAAATATCAACATTTTTCTCTTTCATTTTTAACACACTAGAATCAATTATATTTCAATTTCGATTTTTTTTTTAAGGTAAGCACTCAAGTGGAAACACCATCTCCAAGGCATTCTCATAGTTCAACTACATTTGAAGGAAGCAAAATTGTTATTACTGGTGGCCTCTCAGAAAATGAAAAAATTTTAAACTCAGTTCATGTTCTTGACTGTCAATCATTGAAATGGTCAGTACTAGAAGTATCTGGATTACTCCCCAGGTAAGAAATGCATTTTGGAATCCAGCAGTCCCGAAAAATAGAAAATTTTTAAATCTGTGACGTACATTTCAGAATAATTTAAATCCCTGCAATACAATTTATGTTTTAAGCAGAGCTATTTATGCCCACTTACTTTATTGTATATGCTAATAATTTGTGTTGTATTATAAAGGCACATAATAAAACATTTATTCATTTACATTATACAATTTATTATTAACATTTTTACATATTTTCATATTAAATACATTATTAAGATTCCTTAAGTTTGCCAAATAAAATTATTATTTATTTAAAAAAAGTAATAATTTAAATAATGAGAGTTGTTTATTTAATGCGCAGAACATATAATAAAATTCTGCTCTTAGCTAGTAATTTATTCTGTATATCTTATAATCAGTGTTGAACAGCCAATCTATAGTGAATTTGCGACTACTGATGTTTAACTCTTTGGCGTGACAATTTTCAACTTGTAAAATATCAAATATCTTGTTGCAGAACATTAAATAAAATTCTGCTCCTCTCTAGTAGTTTATTCTGTATATCTTATATGCAGTATTGAACATCTAATCCATATTAAATTTGTAGCTACAGTTATTTAACTCGGTGATTTTACAATCTTGAATTCATAAAATATTAATATCTGTATGATGAATTAGAATATAGATAAATAAGTTTAAGTTGTGTATTTACAAATATTTTAGACAATTAAAATATACTACAAACATTTAATCTGAGATATAACAAATATTTTAATTGCTTGCTAATAAAAAAAAAATTTATTAGCTTGTGAAGTACAGAATTTCTTTAGCTGTGACTTCAGAACTTGTTTTCTTTTAAAATAAAGATATTTCACTTTTAGACCTTCTCACATTTTTTCCTTAGAAATAAAAGTTCGGGATTAACTAATATATAATTAACAATAAACTTTTTTTATTTGCAAGAAATATTTTTTACAATTTTGAAAACTTGTTTGAATTTATTGATATCTGTGCTGTTTAGTATTTTAGGATAAATTAACTAAGAAATTGTGATTGCAATCTCAAATTTCTTTTTTCAGATATTCCCACACTTCACATCATTTTGATAACAAAATATTTTTGATTGGAGGCATAACAAGCACATCTGGTATTTCTGCTGGAATAGGAATAATTGATTTAAAAACAAATTGTGCTACAGAATTATCATTACCTGTAAGTATACTCACTTTTTTTTCTTGTCTTGGTAAATTACAAATTTATTTCATGAGCATGAAGCTAACTCAAGTTATTTTAATATCGTTTAGAATAAATAAAATAGACCTTTTACTTAGAAAAGAATGAAATATTAGACTTATTGAAGAGTGAAAAATTATTTAGAACTGCTAGATTCATTAATCTATGTGTGAATCTTAGATAGCTAGCTCATATATTTATTCATCTAAATATATTTTACTGAGTAAGCCTCTGGTTTCATAATTTTTACATTTGAATGTACCACTTTAAAGTCCCTAATTGCTCATGTTATGTCATTTTCTTCAAAAGTATGCTTTTAAAATAATTAAAAATAGAATGTTTTTATATTTATAATTTTTTGTGATGCCTCTATGAGAATCCCAAGGAATTTACTATTATAGAAATTCTGAGTATGGTAAAATGTTGAATGAACTTTATTTTTTACCTTGAATTTGATAATTTCTTTCTTTCACAGGAACAAGATCCTGAATATCCCATCATTCTTAGCAATCATTGCAGTGTGATATACAATGAAGAATTTATTATCGTTGGAGGTGGGGGGAATTGCTTTTCCTTTGGCACACATTTTAATGACAGAATTGTTACTGTAAAAATAAAAGATTTATTTTAACTTTTGTTATTTTCTATCACTTGTGTATGCTTATTTAATATATTTACAGAATTTACTGATGCCGGATATCTCTAAAATAACTGACAAGCTGAAAAAACTACTAAAATACTGTAGAAAGAGAGGGAAATGCACTTTTGCTGCAATCTGTTTAGGAAACTAGTTTATTAATTCAGATCTAATTTCAAATTTTTTTCACAAATAATGTCGTGGGCTGCAAAAATTAAATATGTATAATCATTACAACTGAAATATTTACACACCTGTTTGTTAACTTTGCTTCACCTACCTCTGCTTCAAAATTGGATTATTTTGAAAAACATTAAATTAGGATTTTTATCAAATAGCAGAACCATTTATTACAAGTTTTAAAAAAAAATTGAACTTGGTGGAAATAAAACTTTAAGTCTCCTAAGCAAAATGTACTAAACTGTACATTTTTTAAATTAATTTTTAAAATTGTCAATCAATTTTAAAAAACCATTTTTAATACATTTTAGAATTTCAAAAGAACAATAATGAATCAATCCTCGAAAATACACGTTGAGCTTCGAGAAAGAAGGTGGTAAGCAACATTTTGAGAGCACTTAAATTTTCAGATTTAAGAACAGGCTAGTATCAAGCGTGTAAACATTATTTGTTCTGTAAAGTCCTTAAATAATGTGATTTCAATATATACCATGTTAAAAAAACAGATTGCTGATATTTCTATACATTCTAATGGTTAACTTTTTTTTCCATTAAGGTCTTCAAATGGGTTTAAGCTTTGATTTAAGGAAACAAGTTTAAAAAATAGGATTGCGTAAGTCATTAACTTACATAAAGTAGTAATTAAATTGCTATATTCACTTAAACAATATCTTTGAAAAAGATTACTCACAACATTTTTTAAGAAATGCTTAACTCTTCTTCCTGACATTTATTTTATACATGAAAATTAAAAAATAGTTATAGAAATATGAAAATAAAAAAATAAGTTAAAAAGTCAGAAAACAATCACCATAACTCTCCAGCATTTTTTGGCAAGGCAACCAACTTAAATCCAATTATAGACTACACTTGCAGCCCAACATATTCAACCAAATTAAAATATGGAATCAGTTTTACTACCTATGCCTGACATTTAAATACTTTGATACATGCCATTTATTTATCTTAAATATTCTTATTTACAATAATACACACTGCTATAAACAAATATCTTTAATATAATTATATTATAGATTTACATATAGATTTTTATAACATAAATAAAAACATTTTATATTTCTTTTATATAGAAAAAACACATAATTACATTGGTAATAAAATTATCAAACACTAAAACAATATTGAAATTTCTGGTTACAAATGAGATCATATAAGTAATCATTGTATTTTAAATTATTTCTTTTGAACACATGACTTAAAATTTACTTTGAACTCAGTTCTTAAACTTTTTTTTTCTGTGAATTTTTATGTATTCGGTAGAAGACAATAGGGTTCTTTAGTTGTTTTGTTATATATAGTATAACTAGGTAATGTAATCAAGGTATTCTACCTAAATAACAAGTCATATGTTCAGAAAAAAACATTTATAGAGTCAATTATGGACAATCTCCAGTTAAAAATGTAAGCCCATTTAACTTTCATCTTTATCCCAAAACTAAATGCTATGTATTAGAGTTCTATCACTTTTTTGTTAGAAATTAAGCCCTGATTAAACTAAATAAAAATATAATAATAGAGGAGAGTGCTTAGACAAATGTTATTTACAAATATGGTTTAATTTTATTAAATTAGTTAAAAAATTTCCTAAAACTTCCACTTATAATTTTTGAGGAACATAACATAATATTTGACAATACTACGTTACATTTTAGACAATTTCACAAAATATCACAATGATAGATGCTTTGAAACGAAAATCATATTTTAACTATAATAAGCCCAAATTACATAAATCTTTACAATGTTAGAGTTATTGTAATGACAAATGTAACAAAAATAAAACTTATCAAATATAATTTAATAAATATCTATTTCATAATTTTTTATAAATTTCTGTGTGATAAGTTTACTCCTGTTTAGTACATGTTGGTAAAAAAATCTGAAAATACAAATAATTGAAATTATCTCAATTTCAAAATTTAAAAAAAGAATTATATCAGAACAACATGTTCTACCACAAAGAGACGCTTTAATATAAAAATTCTAAACACTAACAGCAACTTCATCTAATATTTGACGTAATTTCTCCAAATAATCATTTAAAGAATTTTGTTCACCATGCATTTCCCGACNCAAGGCAACCAACTTAAATCCAATTATAGACTACACTTGCAGCCCAACATATTCAACCAAATTAAAATATGGAATCAGTTTTACTACCTATGCCTGACATTTAAATACTTTGATACATGCCATTTATTTATCTTAAATATTCTTATTAATTTACAATAATACACACTGCTATAAACAAATATCTTTAATATAATTATATTATAGATTTACATATAGATTTTTATAACGTAAATAAAAACATTTTATATAGAAAAAACACATAATTACATTGGTAATAAAATTATCAAACACTAAAACAATATTGAAATTTCTGATTACAAATGAGATCATATAAGTAATTAATTGTATTTTAAATTATTTCTTTTGAACACAGGACTTAAACTTTACTTCTTTTTTTCTGTGAATTTTTATGTATTCGATAGAATGCAGTAGAATTCTGTAGTTGTTGTTTTGTTATATCTAGTATAACTAGGTAATTTAATCAAGGTATTCTACCTAAATAACAAGTCATATGTTAAAAATATAAGCACATTTAACTTTCATCTTTTTCCCAAAACTAAATGCTATGTATTAGAGTTCTATCACTTTTTTGTTAGAAATTAAGACCTGATTAAACTAAATAAAAACATAATAATAGATGAGAGTGCTTAAAGAAATGTTATTTACAAATATGGTTTAATTTTATTAAATTGATTAAAAAAATTTCCTAAAGCTCAAATCTTCAACTTATAATTATTGAGGTACATAACACAATATTTGACAATACTTCGTTACATTTTAGACAATTTCACAAAATATCACATGATAGATGCTTGGAAACTAAAATCATATTTTAACTAGAATAAGCCCAAATTACATAAATCTTTACAACGTTAGAATTATTGTAATGACAAATGTAACAAAAATAAAACTTATCAAATATAATTTAATAAATATATATTTTATAAATTTCTGCATTATAAAGTTACTTCTGTTTAGTACATGTTGGGAAAAAAAATCTGAAAATACAAATATTTGAAATTATCTCAATTTCAAAAAGAAAAAAAAAAGAATTATATTAGAACAACTTGTTCTGTCACTAAGAGATGCTTTAATATAAAAATTCTAAACACTAACAGCAACTTCATCTAATATTTGACGTAATTTCTCCAAATAATCATTTAAAGAATTTTGTTCACCATGCATTTCCCGACTGTTACACAAAAGTTTTATGACTACAGTATATTCATGTTCTTGAAATTGAGGTCCTTCTTCAACTATTTGATTTAAAATTTCTTCACATGTATGGTTTAGAAGATCATAGAACTGTCTAGCTCTATCTAAGGCAACTTCTCTTGTCATGGTTATACCAGCTAAATTTTGCTGAATGGCAAAAATATTTCTGCCCATTTTCTTAATATCATTTTCCTTTATTTTATTATTATTTGAAACACGTTTGATAAGTATGGTTGACAGCAGCTCACCGATGCCTTCAAAAATATATTTCATTTTCTTAGTCTGCAATACCGGTGATAACGACTCATCAATCTTGGAAAGATCCTGATTTAATTTAACAACTTGAGGCTCTGGCTCTTCATCATCTTTTCGTGTTATGTACGATCCTAATTTGGATGGTTGCATAAGGTGAAAGAAGCAATGTGCACGGACTTCCAAATGAAGCACTAGTAAGCAAGTATCAGCAAGATCCTCAAATTCTTTGGCCAAATTTTTCAGACAACCTTTAGTTGTCATGCTTAGGGCTAGATCCAAAGTAGCATCACCTTCACCATTCATTTTATCAGGCAAAAATGCAACACTTGCTTGCATATCAGGAAGAGTGTCAGAAAACTGAAGAATCTGGAAGGTAAACCACTCCATGCTTTCGTGCAAAAAAGCAAGATTTTTCAATTTATTATGATCCGAAATTATCTCTGCGGGTGATATACACTCTTTGCATGATAGATTTCTATTCAACAACTCTGACTCTTCTTTATTACGAAGCCGAATCTCCTCTGGAGACTCTTCAAATTGAGTTTCTTCGGCATCATGGTCGAATTTCAAGTTCTTCCAGTTTGGTAGAGATTGCAGCAAACGAGTGATGTCAGGATCTCTAGCCCAAGATACACTAAACAGATGCTGGTTGTCTGATTCTGTACTAATTAAACTCTTGTATGCTACATTCATAAGGTCTTTATAAGTCTCTAACAAGTTACAAATCAATTTTAAGAAATGGCTAGCATAATCTGGTAATAAATTAATCAAAAGTGCTAACTCTTTAATGTTTGAGTTTAATAAAAGTGTACTACTCAAGATGTGAGTTTTGGCATTAGCCGATTTTAATTCATCGATGTCCGTCATTGCTTCCCAGTTGTCTATTCCATTGCTTATTTTTTCAACCAGTCTATTGATGTTGATATTCACATCATCCAAAAACACCCTGACACAGTCATCAAGAAAGCTATGCAAAGGACAGTGAGTTGTGTTGTCCATTCTTAGAACATTTTCAATTTCAGAGATAAATTTCTTAATCGGTCTGTAAACTACAGTTATATTTTGAGCATTTGGCTCACATATCAAAACAGGCAAATCATCAGAATCAAGTTCACCTTTCTGGTTCAAGTCCTTTTGCTCTTGTAAGTAGGTTTTTTTATTTATAGCATGAGAAGAACTATCAAACCGGAATAAAGCATGTTTTTTAGCCCTAGTCATCCCTTTGCGCAAAAAGTAAGAAGAAATATCAGCAGTGGCTGGCACCTTAGAGAAAGCTGCAGTGGAACGTTGAGTTGTGGAAGCACTATGCAAATCTAAATAATTACCTATAAGAATTTCGACAGCAGTTTGTAGTTTAGAATAAATATCAGCCATTTCATATTGAGTCAACGATAAGTCAGTCAACCCTTTAGTCATAGCAATTCTTTGCACATTATCCAAAAAGTAATAATGATTAATAGCAACATATCTAAATTCTTCAAGAATAAGTTCAACTAAGTCATGGAGACATTGCTGCTGTTCTTTATTATGAGATTCTGAATATACAAGTGCTGTTTTACTTGGGAATGGTGAATTTTCTAATGTTTCGTGCATTAACTTTGAAGTATTTTTAATTATAAGTAACAACTCCATTGAGCATTTATCTTTTAAAATCTCTACTGTTTCGGGTAATGTATTCAACTCGGATGAGCACTTTAAAACTAATGAAATGTGTTTATAATTAGAATCTGCACTGAAATCTTGATATTGCCCTTCAATTGGAAGTTTAATTTGCGATCTGTTCGAAAACAGCTCTTCATAAGACTTGCTTTTTGTAGATTCATCAATACTTTTAGTGCAAAACACTTCTGCGGGAGACATATATAAATGCTTGTGGAGTTCTTTTACCAAAACATTATGCAGAGTCTTTTTCATTTGGATCAAATCTGCTTTTAAATCTTTTAATGCATCTGCAGCAGATAGTTTACCATTAAGTAATGCTATGGATGACACCAGCAGCTGTGTAGCTTCTTCAAATCGACCTTGTTTCAAATGTTCTTCAACTTTTTCATGAACTTTGTTCAGTTCCTCTATTTGTTTAAGCATACTCAGAACCTCTCGGTGTTCAATAGATGATTCAGACAGCTTCTTGATCTCATCTCGTTTGCATTCTAAAAGCGATTTGCATGCAAGTAGTTTTTCTTTCACATTACGACAGCCTCTTCTACTGTTATTGATTTTTGCAGATATTCTACTGAAAAGCTCCATAGTAGTATTCAATTGTTCTCTTTGAGCGGAAATTAGTTTAACTAAACGAGCATCACTTAGTTCAAAATCTTTCTTTAATAACTGCATTCTATGTTTTCGATCCTCATTGCTTTTCGAAACTGAAAGTTCTGCAATAATGTTCATTAATCTCCCACTAGTGTCTTTTGATACTTTACCTCCTCTAGGAGGCCGAACAGGCGGCCTATACTCTGCTTTAGACATATTTATTCAAAGATTTAAAGAAATTTGCAATCTGAGAAATTTTGCTTTTTACAAGATCCACATAGATCCTTGAAATAATTTCATTCACAGCATCTCTTAAATTTGAATTGAACCTGCAAACAGATTTAAAAATAAGTTTGCTTTCTAATTAATTGTTTAAACCTTTTAAAACAATAGAATAGCTATTTCTGTTCTTGATAATTAAAATGCTGAAGCGGCTTCCTGTTGAGAAAAAACGCCTTTCACGGACGTCACGATTGGGTAAACAAACAGACGACTGAAGAACCAGCTCCTGCTTAAAAATGACTCATTTTATTTTACGAATCATTTTACGACTTTATGAAAAAATAAGCTATAAATAGATTATAAAAGGTATGTAAAATGAAAAATGGCAAATAAATTTCCTACAGTTAGCTATAAAAGTCAATTATCATATATTTTGCGTGATTATGATTTTAGATTTATTTATTATTTTAAGTTCCTTAACTGTGCATTCAGAACTGGCATCAAAAATGCTTTGTGTTTGTTGTCAAATTTCTGCTTCTGATTTGATGTTATGAAAAAGGTAGTGTATAGCGTGAGTATAATTATATAGATTTTAAAATATATCAATATATTTTAAAAATGGCTCGTCATCGGCATATTCGGGCTCTTGATGTTGATGAAGGTTGTAATTTAATGTATTTTAAAGTTTTATATCGGCTTGAAATCTTTTAACATGCTGTTTTTTTAAAAGTGCTATTTAAATGTGTGTTGCATGGATAAATATGTTAGATTTTATTATTTAAATAAAAAATACATAAATAACAGATGATCATACATTGTTTCCTCTTTTAGATAAAATTATATTTAAAAATTATGCAATATTTTTCTTAGAAATCGAGGGAATTAATTTATAGCTAAAAATTCATTTATATCCTGTCAAAGTAATTTTTATTTGTAAAAATACAAAATAGGATTATTTAATATTGATTAAATGCGATGCATTGCTTCTAGTATTAACTAACAAAGCATCATTAAGAGTTTTGCATCGAAAGTGTTATGTATTTTGTTTGTAGTTTATATCATTGATTAGAATTTAAAAAATGAAACTGAGTATCAAATAACATCTTTTAAAGTTTTGTAAGATATTGGTCAAAATTACTAATTGTTAAAAGTTTTCCTAAAGGCCTGAAATATAATTAACAAAACATACACTTTTATATATAACATTTTATTCGCTTAAAGGTCAATTGATTTAAATCGGACACAAAATTACAAATACGGTCAAGCTCACTTACGACAAGTGTTAAGAAACTGCAATTTTTTCTCATAATTAAGTGTTTGTAAAAAAAATCACAGAAACTTTTTAATTAATTCATTAAATTTTATGAAATATATTTACTTTATTTATTTTAATTTCTGTATAGTGCTACAAGAATGACTAATTTGCTTTTAACAGTCTTATTGTCTCTTTGATGTGTTCATCAGATAAAACTTATGGCGTAAAAAACAATGGTCATTTGCAAGCTTGCTTACAAAAAAGTTCATGTGTAAAAAAGGATTTATGACTATATTTTGTTGAGAATTATAAAATATTTAACATGCTTTTGTTATTATTAGTACTAATAAAATTATGAAAATGGAATTAAGCCATAAAAGAAAGTAGGAAATCATTACTGCAAGTTTTTGAATGAGACTAATTAGATTAAAGTCGAAATAATATAAGGAAGGAATAATACACTAAATCTAATTTGAAACAAAATTTTTCAGTACATAGTTTTTAATCCAAATGATTCAAAAAAAGTATTTAAAAAAATTTATCTCATAAGACATATCAAATATTTCTTTTTTTTTTAATTCTTTTTTTTTTCAAAATGTTTAGAAAAATTATCTTTGAAGAATTATATTGAATGTAAACAATAAAAAATATTATAAATAATATAATATATTAAAATATATATATTAAAATAATGTCCTTGCTGTGGATCAACTCCAAAGTAGACTCATGAATCCAAGAATGAGTTTAGTTACTCTAAAGTAAGTTCAAAAAGTATCTGCTTTTAATTGCTACACAAAATATAATACTTGTTATTGGTTCGACTCGAAAAATAATGAGACTATTTTAGATACTGCCATCTAAATATTAAAATTTTAATATAATNTCTTTTTTTTTTTTATTCTTTTTTTTTTTTGCAAATTCCACGAGTTTAAACTTAATATTTTAAAATTTAATAAATATTGAGTAAACTTAAAAAATTTCCTGATGTATTCATTTAAAATACTGGATACTTTTTACTACTAAGTGTGAAATCTTACTATAAGCTCATTACTATTTTGCACCTCTGCTAGAATCTAACATTTTTCTGGGAAAATTAATGCATCTTTTTAATATTTTATAGAATATGACGGTTTTTCATCATGCTATGGACATTCAGTGGAAGACGATTTTTGCGTATCCCCTGGTACAGGTAATTAGAATTCTTTTTGTAGTTTTTTGATGTTAATGAAATTTTGATGATAATTCAAAAAGTTTTTGTTTAGGGAGTAATTTATAAAATGGTGAATAATGTTATTAATTTCCCTTTTTTTAAGGTTAAAACTTGGTTTTTATTTGACGCTTCTCAGAGTTCTTCCTAGAAATAAAAAAGGGAATGATAGAGCACTCACTTAACACTGTCAAAATTTATCAAAATATGTAATATTATGTAATAATTGAATTTGATCCTCAATTTTTGAATTACCCTTTTATAATATTTTATGTATATTATGTATTCACAAAGTAATTTTCACTCATTATCAAAAAGGTTGAAAAAGTAAAAGCTTTTGAAAAATAATTAAAGGCAATCTAAAAGACAATCTCTGTTAATAAATTTTCTTCTAAAAGAAAAGTAAAATAAAAAAGGGGTTAAATGATGAAAATAAACATTCAAATGGGTATTTTTAAATTAAAAGGTATTTATTAAAATAAATTAAATGATAAAGCTTAAAAATCATTTTAAAATTCATTAACCCTCCCCTTGCCAAATAAAAAATGTAACTATCTCTGAGGCTAAATCTGATTTCGAATTTTAGCTATATAACTAAGCAACTTAAAAATCATATAAAATAAAGAAATGAAATTAAAAGTTAAGTAATCAATGGCAAAATAAATCAGAAATGGACTTCTCATTAATACAGATGATAAAGAAAATAATCTTTTCTCGAAAAAAAATTAAAAGACAGTGTTTTTAAGGAATGACAGCCTATTTTTACAAGAAGAGCAAAGTGGGCACATTTATAAGGATCAAAGGATGGGCGAGGCAGGCCAGGAGAACACTTATGCTGGATGATGATTTGTTAGAACTTTAGCACTGAGTATTGCCTAGTAAATAATTAATTTGTATAATTCTTAAAATAATTGTATAAGAAGTTATATTTTATAACCTTTCCATTTGCAGAGGCTCAATTTTTGTATGATCGTAGTAAGCAGAATTCCTCAATGGGTGCATTCTTCGATCATCCTGATGCTGTACTAGAGGAGGATGACAGCGAAGAGGACAATGCTGAGCCTCATTCAGATAAAAACCTAAAGCTCAGTGATGAAGACTATGGTAATGTCATGTTATATAAATATTATATTACAGTAGATTCTCATTAATTCAGCTCCATGTATCTCAAATCTCTGGTTACTTGAATTATCTGGTTACTTACTACGAATTTATGGGTCCTGCCATATTGGAATAACAATTAATGTTACATACAACACCTAATGTGAACCACACGTTGGATATAAGTTTCTGAACTCTAGTGTTGAGCTGCTGGTGGGGGGTATAGTCTTTGGACTCTTCCCTTTTATAAGATTTTTAAAAAATTACTATATTTGTCTCATATGATTATATTAATTATTTTACTTTTATGAATTAGTAAAATCTTATTTAATTAAAATTAGATTTACTAATATTTTATTTTTCTAAGATAATTTGAACATTTTATAAAGTTATATTTTCTGACCTGTTCATCTATTAGTTGTTGTATGAATTATCAATCTTCATGTTTAAACTTTAAAAACTTTCTATAAATTATAGTATTAAATTTGATACTTTTCAAATTATGAAACAACATTCAATAAAAATATTGTTTGTTATTCTATGTATTATTAATAGCAATAAACTGTATTCTCAATTGTTTTCTATTGCATTCTTAATTTTTTTTTTATTTTAAATTTTTCTTTTTTTTTATATATTTCTGTGCTCATTATACCTTAGGTGATATTATTTATAATAATGACAGTGATAAACCACATCAAAAATTCATAATTACTTTATCATGAGTGTCTTTGAAAGCTTTGGAAATGGAGACTTTTTTAAGAATTTTATCAAAACTGATTCAAGAATTTCAACCTCCTAATAATATGGGCCTTAATAAATGTATACAATGATAGAAAATACTTTATTGATATAATTGATGTATTATCATTTTTCGATACTATAAAACACAAATATATTAGGTAGGATATTTTTGTAAACATATTCTTTTTCTTTAAATATTTGGTTGTGAAGTCAGTGTAAAATTATTTATTTTGATTTACTTTCCTGTAAACATTTGTCTACACAGCTCTACAAATCTATTATTTATGTATAGTCATTTTTTTCAACGAAGCATTAATGAAGAAAAACGTTATTATTCAATTTGAAAGTACTGGAAACTATAACACAAAACTTTATCCTCCATTGAGAAATGTTATAAATTTTTTCTAATGTTATATTCAGTTTTTAAAACTTTATGCTTGGGCATATGTCGCAAATTTCTTATTTTTATTGGCAACTGAGAATTTTGAATATTTTTACTTAAATTTAAGAGTTGAATTAAATTACTAATTAGATTAATGTTAGCAGACATCTTCAAGCCTTGACGACAGCCCTCATATTTCATTGGTTATCTTCAGAAACTTTCTAATTATTTTAGGAATGAAAATGTCCCAAAATTTTGACATGCGTCCTCAAATGTCTCATATTTTTTTCATAATCATAGAATTTTTTTTTCTATGTATGCTTGCAGTTAAGTATCAAAAATAAAATATTCATGTTTGTTTTACACAAGAAAATTTGGTCTTAAATTGAATACAAATGAAAATAACTGATGAAAATACAATACTCATCTTAAATTAATTTCAGCTAAAAATAAACAAATTAATGTAAAAAAATTATTATGTAATATTTGAAAACTTCTATGTACTAATAAAAACAAGTTTGAAAATGGCTCTGCATCTGGTATTAGTTATCAATTCAAAAAAAAAAAAAATCTTTTGCACATATAAACTAATATTTTCCATAAATATATAGTGTCCTGAAATTGTATAATTTTTTGAAGATGCTCCGCTGATTTTTCCTCATGTCATAATTTATAAATTTTGGTTTCCTTAAATAGGATACATTTTTCACAAAATTTAATAAACTAAATAGGCTGTTCTTTTTATAAAAGAAAAAAAAAATATTTAAATTCTGTAAACATTTTCCAAATAAAGAGCTGCATCACATTATTTTTTAAAAAAATTTAAAATTTCTATTCAACAACATTGAAAAAAATTAATAAGTTAATTAAGAATTATATCATTAATTAATATTTTCGTCCTTCTTTTAGCTAAACTCTTATCTGTAATAGAAGCTATGCAAAATGTAGTGGGTGACACCATACCTGAAACTACTTTAAAGCAAGCAGCATTAGATAACAATTTTGATTTAGAAAAATCATTAAATGCAGTTCTTCAAGGTAATTACTATTATTTATCTTTTATCTCTTACTTTCCAGCTTAAAATAATACTTTGGTGGATATTTTTGAATTTTATTATTTATCTTATTTAATCCTTTTAACTGTTGACCAAGTTATTTGTTAGGAGTTGTACTTGGTTGATTTCTGCTTAATAAAATGCTCTTTCTCCATGTTATACAAGGAAGAGATAATGTATTATAAAAGTTCTGTTAATAAGACATTTCTCACTGATTTAAATGTTTTGAAAGGTGTTCTTAGGAACTTATAGATTCTTGCAGTTAAAATATATGCTAGTTATTCGAAGTAATGCAAACTTATTTATGAAATTATATTTATTAAAGAAAAATGCTTGAATGTGCACAAAAATAATAGCTTTTGCACAATTTTCCTTTTAGCACACTTTTTTTAAGTAAAATGATTTGTGACATTGTTTTACTATAAGTATTTAGTTTTTGATTGCCACAACATTGTTTCTTCAAAAGCAAGAGCACTAAACGCAATTATTTTTAAGTAAGTTAGTGATACTTTTTGCAAAAATTTCTTCTAGTGATAGTTAAGAGCCAGTTTTATTGTATGATTCACAGTTTTCTAAATTTGATTTAAAATTATTTTCTGCGCCACTAAATTTATATTAATCAAAGGTTCATTATGTAGACCACTTTTTCCCAAATATCTTTTCCTGAATTCACTTCAAATAACTTCTAGTTATTCATTTTGCGTGCATAAGAGCACACAGCATTGCATACATGAAAGAACCATAATGCACCAAATGTGTCATCAAAAACTCTCAATGATTGTTAATTGCAAGAATAAAAATCTTATCTATTATTAACAAAATCATCATTTGTGGCATAACATCCCAAGGTAGGCCTTGGCCTTCTTTAAAAGATTTTTTTAATGCAATCTTTTACAGGTAACTGTCCTCCAGGTATTTAGTTTAATAGTAGAAAAGTTGTTCTAAACAGCATATCCATCTTTTTTTCTTTTTTTTTCTTCCTTTTTTGTTTGCCTCTTGATCTATTATTATAGGGAATTGCATTCTAAACTTTCAAGGCTGGCTGGGTGGCCGTGTCGTCGGCCTTCTGAGCCCAAGTCTGCGGGTTCGATCCCCGGCCCAGACACCGGATTTTCGGGATGCAGAAAATCCTCAGCGGCCATGTTGCATGATTATGCGGCATGTAAAAGATCTCTGGAGTGTCTCATTGGCTCTTGGCATTTCCGCAAAAATTAAATTCCTAGTGCACTTTAGCATCCAAAATAGAGTCTCGGTGCTGCCATCTAGTGTGGCAGAAACTAGACGTCCAAATTAACATAACCAACGGTATCTCACCCATTGTGGTGGTCCTGAAAGAGTGGATACCACCTCTGGAGAACGCACTAGGTCTGCTCATTGGCAAGACCGATTGTGCAGCTCATTGGAAATATTAAAAAAAACTTTCAAGGCAGTTCTACTTTAGGCTATTCTTAGAAAATGGCCTGCCAATCTCTAGTCTGAAATTCTGAGTTTTTAGTTCTATTTAGTCTAAAACTGTCTTTGTGAAATTCTTTTTCCTTTGCTATTTTTAAAAATATTATCTATAAATCTTTTTAACAGATATGCATTATGACTTTACTTTTATGGCATCTCTGACAATATCCATATTTTTCTGATTTAGATATTGTTATCTATAATGAATAGGACTATATATAGGAAAGATTCCACTTGCCCACGCTGATTGCCACTATATTAAGCAGTTTTAGTACTGTCAAGAAAAAAGTACTAAGGTTGTTTATGAACAGGATTAAGCCTTGAATGGAAATATGTGTATCATTCTGTTTGTGCTAATTTTAGTCAAACAAAATTTTTCAGAATGGTGATCTTTTATATTTGTGTATATTTAAAAAAATTTTTTCACAGATCTTAACATTCATTAGCACTTTTTTGTTTCTTTCATTATTTAATTTATTTATTTCTATCTAGATAGTGCTCCCAAACCAATGCGTGCAAACAGAGTTACTTCACAAAAAGGTTTGTAAAATTTATATGCTTTGTTGTTAAAAATCTGAAAAGAAAATGTCTTGATTTCTATTATCATTTGAGTTTTTTGTTCCTATTGTAAAATTTTTGTCTAATTTTAATTAAATTTCTTTTGTTAAAAATTTTATAACTAAGGTTTCCTAAGTAAAATAAAATAAAAACTTTTTTGTTTATTTATTTATAATTCATATATTCATATTAAACATATAAGGATTAAAGATCCAGTAATATTTTTAATTTTGGTGTTTAGTACATGAAATCTAACATTTTGGATATTTTTGAAAAGCTATAAGTCTGTACAAGATATAATCAACTTTTAATTTTTTTAATAAAATCTTTTTATATTCTTTTCAAACTCTACAAATATTTTTTGTTTTTGAAACAGTTATGTTATAAGAATTTGACAATTCAAAATATTCAGTAATGGATGAATTTTCAATTTACAATCATCACCAATTTCAATCACTCAGCTATCTATTGTCGTATTAAAATAATATTCTAGAATATTTATTCATTTAAATTACTTTCACTTGAAGAATATTCTATTTTTAATCAATCTGTAACTTGCCTCTACATTTAATTTGAATAAGACCTTGACCATTTCCTGTTATATGACAATTTAAACATTTTACCTCTTACATATACTCACCACTGTTATAATCCAAGTTTTTCATTTTTTCACCTATAATTGTATTGCAATTTTAAAAATACAACTTTTTTTGCCAAATACGAAGAACATGATAGAACTCAGGAAAATAAGTAATATTTTTAAAGTGAATTGAATGACTTAATGGTTTTTAGTCTTTAATGTACTAACATCTTGCAAAGTTATTGTATATAGAAGTTTGTATATAAAGTGTTAAGTGGTCCTAAAAGATATTCAAGAACTACTTTACTTACACATAAAGAAAACATCACACACACTTTGTTTTCTTTGCCTGTTTCCTTAAATCCAAAATTGCCTGTCATTAAATAATCAATGTATGCTTTGTGATTAGTCCCAAAACAATTATTTTATTGCCAAAAGATCTCTGAAAAACAGTAGAGGACCAATTATCCAGGATGCTTGGGCCCATCGCTGTCCTGGGTGTCTGAATTTCCCGGTTTATTGAGTGTTGTTTATCGATCTTTTATCAAACCGAAATTACAATGAGAAAGAGTAACACATTTTAAATTAAGAAAAAAAATAAAAGTAGCTCTCCTAAATTGAAAAAAATAGTGGAAAAATGAAATTTAAAGAGTAAAAACATTTGCAAGTCTAGACAAAAAATATACAAAATTCACTTATTTATTTTTTGAAGATTAGATATAAAAAAATACACCAAATTAACTAATATAACCCCCTGCGCACATGCAAATGACGGGAAAATCAAGCAAAATTTTTCACGGTTTTCTGACTAAATGGTTCTGAACCGTGTAACCATCCTGCAAGAAAATTCATATTAAAATGTTTTTCTGTTTTTATTTTTTAGCTTCGACACAATCTACTGTTAAAAAGGTTGGTGATCGTAATGAAAGACTTTCAAGTAATGAAGCAATATCCAGTAGCAAATCTCCAAACATCAACAGAAAAAAAGATAATGTTGACATGTTTGTATTTTCTTTTTTTATATTTATTTTGATATTTTTTTATAGTTTGCATTGCTCATCCGTTAGGCATACCTTGCCTAGATTGACAAAAAAATTCACCTCTTATTAAATATTAAATAATTTTATTTGAAAAAATGTTTTCTTTTCTAATTTTTCTAAATCATGTCTCTATTTTTCTAAATAATTTCTGAATCATACATCTACCTTACCTGTATTTGTTTAAAAAATAGTTCCCAGGAACTATGAGAAGAAACAAAAAAAATTCTATATTTTTTCTGTTTCTTTCTTTTTTTTTTTGCATTTTGTTTATTATTTTATGAGATGTTCATTATTTTGTATGCATTATCAACGTTAGCAAACTTTCTTCCTCTTCATTCTTCAATTTATTTAAAATAATTTATTATTATTTATTTATTTATTTTTTTTAGAATGAAAAATAAAACTGCAAAAAATGAGCTTCCTACACCCCCAGAACTAGACACTTCTGCCAAAGAACTTTCTGAAAGAAAAAACAAGATTCCAAGTGAACAGTAAGGTTTAAAATATATTTATACCTTTTAAAAATAGTGTATTTTGAAATACTATTTTTTTTAAACAAAGTTTTTTTAGGTTGTAGTTTCACTCTGCCAATAAATCCTTTTGATTCACAAATGAGTTCCTTGGTACTTGCATCCCCCCACCCCTAGCTTGGGGGTAACTTTGAAATCTTTAATATGAACCCTTATTTTTTGTTTTATTTATTTGTATATCTGGGTTTTCCAGAAGAAAGTATTGAGATGTAGGTTCAAGCATTTTGCTTTACTTGGAACTTTGCTGTAACCGAAAAATTAAAAAGGATACAAACTGTTTAAAAATGGTGATAACTTAAAATCCATCAAATTGAAAATAAAAATAAGTAAAACTAAAAATATTTTCTGTAATTTATTTATTTTTTCAAGAAAAATCTTTTAAAATTTATATAAAAATTTTTAATGTTTTATTTTTTTATCTAATGAATCTCAAGATTTAATATTTTAAACCCTGTTTGGTGGTTACAACTCCATATATGAAGCAAAATANTCTCTAATTTTTTTTTTTTTTTTTTCAAAAAAAATCTTTTAAAAAAATTTGTATAAAATTATTTAATGTTTTATTTTTTTATCTAATGAATCTCAAGATTTAATATTTTAAACCCTGTTTGGTGGTTACAACTCCATATATGAAGCAAAATACATCCTACATCTCAAATAGGGTGGCGTTTTTCTGGAGAATCCAAATCTGTCATGATAATCAATAGAGGTTCTTATTTAGGATTTCAAAGTTGCCCCCCACCCCCATGGAGTGAGGTGAAAGATCAAGTTTGGTACCGTTGAATGGCTTTTAAAAAATTTTGAATGGGACTAATTTCACTTTTTTAGTGCAATCTATATTTCTCGAGATATTTTATCTTGAATTCCTGTCATTCCTTTATGTTAACCTTGTACAAACATTAATATAAAATCATGTAATTTAAACTGCTAATTATCTATTTTTATATTGTTTGTGTCTCCCTTACTAAATAAATAAATGTCTTTTTATGAATGCATTAATTAAAAAATTTCCATTATAAGAATTCTGAATTTGCAGAAATTCTAAAATTTATGAAATCAATACCACCAAATCACATTAATGTTTCGAAAAATAAATATTTATTGTTAACTTTTAAAAATAAAATAGTAGCAAACTTAATTTAACCCACTTATTTAAATATTTTATTTCCTTACTTATGAAGTCATATTTCGTTAAGTAATTGTTGAAAATAAGAAAACGGATTTCATTAAGGTTTGCTATGAGTCCCTTTTTTTGTATTAATAGTTTTAGTTATTTGCTGCTGAATCTATTAGTGGTGATTATAATATTCTCTTGGGAACTTGTTGAAAAATTAACATCTGCATACAGATATTATTTGACTATCTTTAAAATGTATTCACATCTCTTGTGTTTCGAAATATTCTGGTTTTTAATGTATTCAAGAATGGACCTCTTTCTCCTATTTTAGTATTTAAACAATTTTATTGTAAAGTTTTAAATTAAATGTGATTTCTAGTTTTGTTGAAAACATACAATCCTTCTTGTATTAATTGATTAATGTATGCTTACTTCCTGGTAATTTTTAGAATATTATTGATGGGATGAGAAATTAAGTAATTTTGAAGACGAATATTTAAAGCCTCAGTGATTTATGATTGTGTCATTATTGATAAATTAATGGATGGGGAAAAAGTGGCTATTACCAAAATTGCAATCACGTTAAAAAAGTTTTTATTTCAGTAATCAATTGACTAAAAATACTGTTTAATTTGGAGAAATCTTAGCTTAAAATTAAATTTATTTATCTGTTTTAGGTCTGGTAATGCTAGTGTAGCTAAAAGTGAAACTTCCCTCACAAATGTACCGGATGAAAGCACAAGTTTAGAAAACAGCTGTGAGGAACCCAAGCCTACTATAAAGTATGTTATATGTCTGTTAAATTTTTAATAAGTAAATAAATATACTGACACAGTCATGAGAATCATAAAAAAATGTACTAGAAATGTACATTTTTTTAATTATTATTATAATTATTATATGTTTTGCTTGTTGNGATCCTTATGAAATGTTTTTCTTTTTAATTTATTTTAATTTTATTATTATTTATTTTATTTTACTTCTAACACTTTTTTGACGTAGGGGGTACGGGTACTTTGGTTCTGAGTTGAGGGTCAAGTTGAATTCACTCGATGATGTGGGAAAGTACTGATTGTTTCGATTTACGTCTGTTTCTTTTTGGAGTTTTTTTTAACGCTAAAACTGTTTGCAAAAAGTTTTTGTTTTTCAATGATATCACTGATTGAAAATGAATTTTTTGAGTGCTTGAAAATTTTTGTAAAGTGCTTGAAAAGTTTTTAAAAAGTGCTTATTTTTGATTCAAAGATTTGGCTACGCACCCTGGTAAATAAATATACTGACACAGTCATGAGAATCATAAAAAAATGAACTAGAAATGTACATTTTTTTAATTATTATTATAATTATTATATGTTTTGCTTGTTGCTGAAATCCTGATATAAAAAAAATTTCAAAGAGTTCAATATTGTTATATTCAAATTGAATATATATGCAATTTTGTATGGTTAATACTTTTACTTAATTGAAGAATGTGTGTGAAGGATATAGTGATGAGAGAATTTTATAATATTAATTATATTCCTTCCAGAAGATACTTTAAAGTTTCTATAATTTCCCCTAGATGTCAGTGTAATGCACAAAAACATCTTATAATCATGGAAATTATGTTTTGACCAAAATCTCTTCTGCCTAAGGATTTGTGGTTTGCTAAACATTACCTAAAAATTGTATTGACTTCCTTAGAATTTTTAATGTTTTAAAATATTATTTGAAAAATAATAATTTTCATTTTAACAGAGCAAAATCAGAGAAAAGTGGAAAAGAAATATATGAGACTGAAAGAGGAGATGCTAAACCTCTCATAAATCTTGTTGTTATTGGTCATGTTGATGCTGGAAAGAGCACATTAATGGGCCATTTATTGTACAGGTGATATGAAATTTTGTATATTAAGTTTAATGATAATAACATCCGTAATAGTTAGTTTTTTTTTTTCTTTTACTCTTCCGTATTAGTTTTTATCACTTATGGAGTTTTCATAATTTATTTTGTAGTTTCCATGGTTGAAGTACTTTGATTGATATTTGTATTTTAATTGTTTATATATTGAAAAAAACACATAAAATTAATGTATTTCATATTCATGTATAGCAATATTTGTGAGTAAACTTCAGTGTTGCATTAAAATATATTTGAGCTAAATTTACAAGGTATTTATTGATTTGGAATGTGGGAAAAAAATTCAATGAAATATGTCTTGTCTGGAAAAGTAAAGCCTATTTTTTCCATTCTAAAAATCATGCGTGAATTTTTTATCTTTTTTTTCTTTTTCTTAATTATTTTAAAGGTCATTGGGTTTAAAAAGCGTTTCTGGCTTTAATCTTTTACGCATATTTATATTTAAGCAAGAAGCAAAAAAGAAATGGGGAAAAGATTTTAAATTATAGAAGGAAAGAATTATTGGGAGGAAGTTTAAAAATAATTAATTAGAAAAATTGACAATGAAAAGATATAATCATTAGCTCACACTATCTGCAAATAGCCTTTTCTAATATTTTATTAATACAGCCAAAGCAAAATATATCACTACAATATTGTAAGGAGCACCAAAAAAGGAGTAAGCATAATTTTATCAAATAAAAATAGCTCAACAATTAAAAAAAAGAACTCACAAATAGGAACATAATAAGCGAGAAAGGAGAAAGATTTCATGTATTTACAAATAAGTTACAAAAATGATGTGGAAATATTTTCCTAACTAAGCTGCCAGATTCCAAAATATGAAATTAAAGTGTAAATAGAGGGTTTGTAAGATATATTTTTAAGGCATAATCATACTGAAGTTAAGAACTGCATTTGATTTGTGTGTTACCTTTCATTGGCACAAAAACTGAATTTATTGAAGGCAATAAAATATGGTGGGTAATTCAAAATTTATTATTAATAAAAGGTTGAATTTGTTCAATTTATTAATAAAATGTCAAAATACAAGATTTTAATTCTAAGATTTTTATAAAAATTAATAACAATAATATTAATTATTTAATTGAATATTTGAGTAGGTTGTTGATTAGTGATAAAATTTCAATTATTTACAATTAAGGCAGATATAATTTTAAAATTAGATTGCCACAGATTTACCCTAATTAAGTATCTAAAAATTTTTACATCGATATATTATTTTGTTAATTTTAATACATATCTCAGTGATATTGTATAGAATTTAATTTCACTTATTAGATAGTCACTGTATTTGATCAATTTTTTTTTTTAAAAGTATGATTATTTGTTTTTTGGATTAATAGATAATACTGCAAAATTTTTTATTTGATTAAAAGTAATATTTAATTAAATATTTTTAGAATTCAATTAATTTATTTATTCAGTTATTAATTATATGATTCAATTAGTTAAATCATTTCTGCTATCGTATGTGTCAACAAAGTAAATATTTCTTCTTTTTTAAAACCTGAAACCAAAAAAGTTTAAATTAATATTATAATTATTACAAGGTACTTTTAATTACTTTGGGTAAATATAATTTAACAAAATTATATGATTGTGAAATAATTCTGAAAACAAATTTGATATTAAGTATTTAATTTTTTCATAATAGTGTAAAAATAAGTTAGCCAGAAGTGACAGAAAATTAGATCCTTGTGGTATTCCATCTATTTGAGTAAAAAAAAAATTGTTTTCCATTATAAATATAAAATATAATTATTTAAAAGACACAGGTTAATTAGAATTTCCCGTTTATCAAATTTGCAATTTAAGATATTTTTATAATTATAGTAATAATATATAAACTTATTATTCCAGTAGGTTGCTTTTTCTTCCATGTAAGCAACAAGTTATTCTCACCAATAATGTAAATTTTTTTCAATAGAATTATTTTACAAAGGGAAAAATTGCTTTATATATTGAGAAACTTTCTAGAGCAAATTTTATTAAAATTCTAATCAGAATAAAACAGCAATTTTAAATATGGCTTTTAGGCATAATTTTAACAGTGATAATTTTTTTAAATCTTCCTATGTCTTGTAATAAAATATGAAACTGATTTTCAGGTTAGGAAATATATCCAAGCAAAATATGCATAAATTTGAGAGGGATTCTAAGAAAATGGGAAAAGGCTCATTTATGTATGCATGGGTTCTTGATGAAACTCCTGAAGAGAGGTTAGTACAAAAACATATTCAAAATTATATTTATTTTTGTTTTATTTCTTTTCTTAGAACATTCTGTTATTTTTATTGTTTCCAGAAATCGAGGTATAACAATGGATGTTGCACTTTCTTCATTTGTAACTCCAAATAAATCTGTCACACTATTAGATGCTCCTGGCCATAAAGACTTTATTCCTAATATGATCACAGGTAATGAAAAAGTTTTTTTTAAATTTCTTGTTCCACAGAATTAATGAATAAAAAAAATCACTAACTTAGTAGATGAGCCGCGATGGCTCAGGGGATAGAGCGTTCGCCTTCCAATAAAGTGAGCCGGGTTCGAATCTCAGCAATGGCTAGTCGATACGAATCCTCATTGGGCTTGCATTGACCACAGTGTTGACGTGTAGTATCCTCAGTTTCTAGATGGATCGGGGACTAGATTACCCTTGCCGTCAGGCTAACTGTGGGAGGTTCTCATGGTCTTCCTTTCCGTGTAACGCTAATGCGAGTTAGTTCCATCAAAAAGTCCTCCACAAATGCAAATTTCTCCTAATTTTTCATAGAGGAGTTCCCTTGTCCTCTGGATTTGGTTTAAAGTTATTAGGCTACAGAGATGAACTTTAGAAGTCGTAAACTCAAAAATTGGGTCAGCTGTTCATCAACGATTGTGAAATACAAAATAACTTAGTAGATCTTAATTTGTGCATCGTAACAGCCATGAGCCAAAACTCGATGGTATTTTTTTAGTGAAAGTACAAATTCAATATGGGATAAATAATAGAAATACTATATTTTTAGTAATTTTTAACACACAAGCAATTTAAATGTTACTTGTCTTGGAACTATTATTTTTACCTGTCAAAAATGATTTATACAATTTAAAACATTTTGTACAGGTGCTGCTCAAGCAGATGTAGCTGTACTTGTTATAGATTCTACGAAAGGAGAATTTGAAACAGGTTTTGAAGCTGGAGGTCAGACGAGGGAACATACCATGCTTATTCGTTCATTAGGTTTGTATTATATTGATATCGACTTTAATAATATAAGTTGAGCAAATGTATTGTAAGTATTTTATAACTCTTTCCGAAAAAAATAGATATGCTATGCTCATTTAATACTTTAGAGTTAGAAAGATACTTTAGAGTTAGTTTCATTTGGGTTAGAATGTGTTTGTTGGATATTGTAAGACATTTATGATTATGTTGAATAAAAAAAAACATTTTTAAGCTTAATTTGTTTAGTTGATAGCTTCCTGTTTATTCTTAGTTGATTCCTTTTAGAATTGCATTCATAGTTAATGTGTATAAGAATTCATAGTTAATTGCATTCATAGTATAAGGCAAAATCAGGAAATTTTGCAATTAGCCAGTTGTAGCATTTTTAACATTGGCCATTTTTTGAAACATGTAACCGTTTAATCAAAAATTGAAAATTTTAAATAATCTGAAGCACCATTGATATAAATGTAAGCATTAGGCATTTATTTTGAAATATTTCTCAAAATATGGTAATCATTACAAGGTTCAATTCTAAAATGAAGAAAATTTTAAAATAAGAACGAAATAAAGTAATTTTCAGAATATTATAAATTATTCATGATAATTCTATATGATTCTACATGATGTGCATTTTTGATAAAATAAGTGGTGATTCCCAAACAGTTTTTTAACTGCCACTTGTCATATTTAGTCGCCCTGTGACAGGTGCTGATCATTAACTTTGACCTATACTGATGTGTATAAAAATCTTTTTAAATATTTTATTAATTTTATCAGAACACATCTTTAATAATTGGCAAACATAAACTGATGATTCTGTTAACAAAATCGTTCTAAAAGAGTTACCTTTTTTTCTTTTTTTTTAACAGAAAAAGAAATTATGGATGGTACTATATTTTATAACAGAAAATGACATCGCTGAAGTATTTAGCATCATGACTGTCGTACTTATAACAATTGATGACACTGAACAAATTCTTCGGCAAAAGATAGTTATTTAAAATACAAAGCCCACACATTATTCCTTTTCACTGTAAATAAAAAACAATAGAATGTAACTATTTTTTGAAATTTTTTTTTGTTCCGTTGTGCATGATAGCTTTTTATTTTGATAATTTTGCCTGATTTAGATTTCACAAGCACCCTGATATAATGAGCAAATTTCCTCAGTTCCTATAAATATGTCAATAAATTTTCAAATATCCATTTGATATCTAATATCTATCTTTTTTCAAATATATATTTTATTTTCCAAATTCCTCTTGCACTATTATTGTTTACCTAATTTTTTCTGCAATTATTTATTTAAGTGATTTAAATTCTATGTTTTGTAATATATAGGTGTAACAGAAATCGCTGTTGCTCTGAATAAAATGGATAATATCAACTGGGATGAGGAAAGATTTAATGACATAAAATCAAGAATGTCAACCTTCCTGAAACAAGTTGGTTTTAAAGAAAATGATGTCGCATTTGTTCCTTGCAGTGGCCTGACAGGTGAAAACCTCATAAGTGGTCCACAAGAACCTAATTTCAAGAAATGGTATTCTGGCCCAACTTTAGTTGATGTCATAGGTATTTTGATTTTTATATAAATTCTCGTATTTTTATAATCATGATAAAGTTCATCTTACAGCTCAGTATGATATTTTAGCCTTTCTTTGATTGCTGTTGGCAGTATTTTGACTATTTAAATAAAACAATATTTTTGAAAAATACTTTTATATTTTAATAAAACTTTTACAACTTTACTTTAATGAATTCTCGTGTTTTTATAATTATCAATATTAGTTATTAATTTTTATTTCATAACTTAGCCGGGTTCAATTTGCTGAGGATAAATATTAGAATGCAAGGGGTAATTTTAGAAGAAATCTGGGCTTGTCAATGATCTCCTCACAAATTAATTTGTCGTAAAAAGGAACTCTTAAGAATATATTTTTTCGTAACTTACCTTTCTCTCATGTCTTTTATTAAAAAATGAATTGATGATGTCTTTAAGTCGGAATTATAAATCTCTGAAAAATATGTTTGTTTGTTTGTTTTTTTTCCTCTATAGAAACGAGATGTTATTTTCATGTATTCTCAAAAACATGACTCTTGTAGAAAGAACGGAATTTTTAGTTTTCCAAAATTATAAATTGATTCATAAAACAAGAGCTTTCACAAAAAGTCTTGACTCGCCTTAGTAGTTTTTTAGAAAATAACAAAATCAAGACCTTATTTTCACAAAATTATAAGTAGATTTTTTGTAATTTTATAAAAATAAGACCTTTTAAAAAAATTCTAAAGCAACGCCTGAATCTAATTCTTTATTCTCTCCAGTCAAAAATTTAAAATTATAAAACTTTAGTTCATGTATTTTCACTTTAATAATTCTTAAAATTTATGTTAAAATATATTTCATATGGAAACAAAATTATAACTGGCATCTTGTATTCATATTATAAAAAGATCTTTTTTAAACAGATAAATTTCGTATTCCTGAAAGACCTGTTGACAAGCCATTTAGAATGTGCGTTAGTGATGTTTTCAAAGGTGCCACTGGAGGATTTTGTGCAGCTGGAAAAATTGAAGGTGGATTCGTCAAAGGTGGTGATAAAGCCTTAGTTATGCCAGCTGGGGAACAGATAGTGATAAAAGGTACACTTATTTAACACGTCTTAAATGAACTGGTTGTTAAAAGTTTAAGGAAAATTGGTTTCTTACTCTTTAAAAGTTTTCTTTTCTTTATTTATTTTCTTTTAATACTCTCTGAGCTTTGTTTTGATTTCAAGCCTGTTTTTACACGTTAAAATTTTTTTTTTGAGAATTCTAATTCATTCTTTTTCTTATATTTTTAGAGTGTAATGAATTATTTCTATTTTGGTTATTTAAAAGAGGTATTGTTATAAATCTTTGTCTAACAAAAAATCGTAGTTACTTTAATTTCTAGTGTATTAATTGACTTTTTCAACGATTTAATTGCAATGAAACAGTCATGGGAGCTGTCAGTTATACACTGGTAATAAAATTAGACAATATTGACTGTTTATAAATAAAATAAACTATTTCCATATTTTTAAATCAATTTCCTCAATAACTGTTCTTTTTGTGTTTGTGCAGTTATTTAATCTTTTGATTTATACTTTTTTTGTATAATAAAATCTTCAGTATTTGATTAAAAGTTGGTTTAAAGAAAATTTTCTTTAAGGAAATAAATCAAGTAATGTAAATGTTTTATGTAAAACTAATCTATCAAATAATTAATGGTTTCTTTAATATTGCTTTTTTCTCCTATAATAAGTTGTTTATCTATGAGATTCTAAAGAAACTCTACCAAACTCAAATTATTAAGGAAGCCTTTTGATATATCAAACAATTCCCGTCTAATTTTTCAGCAATAAAAGTTATATTTTTCTGATTCATAACTTTTTTGGTATCAGAAAAATATAATTTTATTTATAATATTTAAACTACCTAATTGTGTTTCAGTTATTTTTTTACTTATACTTTTTTTATATTATAAAAACTTTAAATAAGTTTAGAAAAGCACCTGATTTAAAAAAAAAAATTAAGAAATAAATCACATAATGTTAATTTTTTCATTAATATTGCTTTTATGTACTATTTAGTTATTTATCTATGGGGTTTAAAAGAAACTCTGCTAAAACTCAAATCATTCAGAAAGCATTTTGATCTATAAAGTCTATTCAAGAACAGTGTTCAAGAACATCATCATTGCATGTGTTGCTATGGCGTCTGTTGTTTAATAATTTTTTTGAATATATTTTTCTTTTATTAAGTTTATTATGCATTGATTATTTTTATGATTTTATTCTTGAAGTATGGGGCTGGAAAGAAACTATAAAATGCTACTAAAATTGTAAATAAAGAGAATTTCATCACTTGAACGATATTTTCATTTGCCTTATTTAATTAAGAATCAGTCTACAGTTTAAAATCATTTCCTTCTTACTTTTCAGTATTAAAATTTATAGTTTTCTGACTCATAAATTTTCGTTTGTTGTTGAATCTAGGAGTGTCATCGGATGAAAGGTCTCTTACTTATGGATTTGCGGGTGATCATGTTGTGTTGCAGCTTCAAGGGATTGATCCCAACAACATATCTTCAGGAAGCATGATATGTAGTATTGAGAATCCAGTGAAGGTCACAAGTCGCTTTGAGGCTCGCCTAGTCATTTTTAATATTAGTATTCCCATCACTAAAGGCTTCCCTGTAATACTTCATTACCAAAGCTTGAGTGAGCAAGCTATTATTACAAAACTAATATCGCAGCTGAATAGGAGCACTGGTGAAGTGGTCAGGAAAAGACCTAGGTATAAAAAAAAAATATTTCTCTTGTGAATTTTATTTTGTATTATTCTCTTTTTGTATTTTATATTAATTTTACCCATCAAACCTGTTGCATAAATATTCTGGGTTGTCACTCTCTTAACAAACTCGCATTTCATGGAATTTCCAGAATAAGAAATTTTCAGACTTTTGTGATTCCACGGTAATTTTAATTAATCAGTAATCTTACAAATTTTTGTAAGATTACTAATTAATTCATATTAAAAATTTTACTGCACTAAACGAAAAATTTCTGTATAATTATTTCTTATAAATTCACTGTTAATTTTAATAAAGCCCTGGTTATGAACTGATTTTTAAAAACTTAAAATCTTACTGTTTCAGAAATTTGATTTAAAGTAAGAAAATGCTTGTTTGTATGGAAGGTGAAAATAATAAAATCATAAATTAGAATTATTTATTAAAATAGCACTGATAATAATAAAAAAAATTATTCTACTACAGTAAAACTGACATAAAATCAAGAATGTCAANTTTCTTTTTTTATATATCTTATCTTTCCGTAAGTATTATTAAAAAAATCTAAAAAGTGTAATAATATTTTTTCAAAAATAAAATAAATAATAAGCATTGATATGCATTTCTTGCAAGAAAAAAGAAACATTTTACTCTATAAAACACTTACCATTTATTAAATTTATTTATTTTTGAATCATTAATTATAAAGATTAAACAATTTTGTGCATAATTTTTTTAACTGGCATAATTTTTTACAGATGTTTATCTAAAAATAGTAGTGCCATTGTTGAAATAGAAGTCAATAGAATAATTTGTCTAGAACTATTTAAAGATTTCAAAGATTTGGGTAGATTTATGTTAAGGTCTGGTGGTTCAACTGTAGCTGCTGGTTTAGTGACAGAAATCAAGTAGCATTAAATCTTTTGGTAAGTCGCATTATATTCTTAATGAGTTGCATTTTAATCTATCTCTAAAATTTATTAGTCAGATTATGTCATTCGCCAAGTAAATTTGTAAAACAAAATTTATGCCAAATGTTTCGTTTAAAATTTTGTTAACATTTTTCACCTGAACTATTTTTTCTGCGTTAAAAAAAAAAATTTTTTATTTATTTGTTGATTTTATATGGCAATATGTTTTTATATTCTATATTATTTCATGAATCTAGTTTTTGTTTCTATGTTTTTAATGTTTTTATTTCTCTATAACATATTATGCGTACAAAAAAAAAAAAATTCTTTATAAATTGTCTGCATTATAGGAAAATATTCCATCATAAACAAAATATTTTTCTTATTTAAGAAAAATGTTCCACTTCCCTTACATTATTAATTCAATTTAAACTTCAATTCAATACAAATTTTAATTCAGGTAATTTTTATAATAAACTTTTTTTAATTATTTATTAACTTCTATAACTTAACCAAACACTTTTTAAATAACTTCATAGATATCCACACTTATGTTTTTCAGTGATTTTATTCCACCTGATTTTAGTGTTATTTTTTTTTTTTACATGTGAATTTAAGATTATAAATTACTTGTAGAAAATTAATTAATGAAAAAAAAAACATTGATTCAATTTTTAAGAAAAAATCTTTATTAAAACATACTGTTTAATAGAATATTTTTAATTTCTGAATATAAAGCATATATGTTAAGTAAAAATTGAAAAGATGAATCAATAAGTAAAAGGCATTTAAAATTTTAAGTCACGAATGAACTGTATAAAATGTGATCTAACAAAAAAAATTATTATACTAGCTTTGATTTAAATCAAAGTTTCTTCCCTTAAGAAGTAATAAATTTGTCATTTATAATTTAAAAAATTTAACTCTGTTATTTTGTTTTTCAAATCATAGTTTTTTTTTTTTTTTTTTTTTTTTTGTTAGTACAACATACTAAAAACTGTAAGCCCTTGGTTAAACCATAATCAATTATGGTTTTATGTGTATCCCAACAAAATTATTAAACCTCAATATTTAAAATATTATTGTAATTACAAGAAACATTGTGCCAGTTAATTATAAGAATTTTTTTTTTTTAAATATATTTAAAAAAATTATTTACAGTTACATGACTATGTGTTTAGTTATAATGAAATTTTGTGATAAATATATCTTATAATTTAACATTTAGATATTAGGCTGTAACAATTAATATTTTTATTATTATTATTTTTTTAAATTTTGAACCCTCTTCTATTTCATTCAATAATTAGTAATGTTTTCCATTTTCTATAGTTTGTTTCAATAACTGTTTGTTAAGGGTTATATTTTATGGCAAATTTTTCCATATCTTTTTATGAAGCTACTGTACATATTTAATTAAAAATTCAAATAACAATGTTTAAGATGCTCAAAATAATTTTTAAACAGGGGGGGAATGGTGTGATATGGATCCTAATAGGATAATGATATATATTGTTCCTGCTTTGAATAATAACTTTTGGGAGCTGATTTTTTTTCTTTTTTAATTTGTAACTATGTCATCAAAGTATAACTATATAAATATTTTGAGTACTTAACATTATTGCTTTTCTAGGTTAATGCTTATTGAAATGAATACCTGGCGATAACCATACTCATTTGAGTACATTTGGATATTTTGTAATATATTTATATTATTCAATTGTTACATTTGCAAATATTTTGCATCAATAAAAAAATATTAAAATCTTGTTTGTCCTTTGTTTCTTTATGTCATTCCTATTTATGATATAAATTTGCCTGCTTTTTTAAAGATCTAAATGCGAAATTAATTTGTATAATTAGGAGCTAAATTTATTAACTCACTCTAATTGCAAAACACATATTAATTATAAAATTTTGTTTTTAATTTACAAATATTAAGATTTTTACCTTGGAAAACGCCCCTTTCATTTTTTTACCTATGACAGATTATCAATTAAATATTTAGGATAAAAATTTTAATGGCAGTTTTTCTTAAATTTTGATAGCTTCACTTGAACTTATATACAGTGGTCGCCTCCTATAATATCGCCGCCTATAATATCCAGCGCTCTGCAAAAACGGTATAATTTTACCATCAAAACAATGCTAAAACTATCACATCGTTTAATAAAATCATAACTGCCATTTAAAAAAATCAAAATTTTGTTAGGAATACCTAGTCGGAAAAGCATTGTCTGATATTATCACATGGTCATACTATAAGTGTGTTTTATTAAACTTAAGAGCAATTTTAAACCTACTTAATCATTTATTGCACATTTTGCATGTCTACAAACCTACCTACAATTGGATTTTTTCACACACACAGATATATATATATATATACAGTAGGGAACCGATTATCCGGAACGATCGGGACCATCGTTATTCCGGATAACTGATTTTTCCGGTTTTCTGAATCGCTACAAAGAGCCATTTTTTTTATTGTTAAACCCAATTTAAAAAATGTTTAGAAATATTCTTAAAAAGAAGAAAAAATAATGAACACTAATGATTATTTCCAAAATGATGGTAAGGTAAACATCTTTAAAAAAAGAAAGAAAAATCCTAAAATCTTATGAGGAAAAAAAAATTTTTTTTTTTAAATATTGCGGGAAAATTTATGGAATTTCGTTCCGGTTTTTTGGTTTTCCGGTTTTCTGATTTCCGGATAACGGGTTCTGTACTGTATATATAAACCTCTATTCATTCTTCATAAACTTGTACATCCTGACAAAAAAAATCTGTAATTTTTCTAACATAATTAATTTCAGATTTGAAATCCCCTTATCTGAATTCGGTAAGATCAAGCACTCCTATAAATGAAACAAAAAAATTTGGTTCCCAGTGTTATTCTTCTACAGTAGGGAACCGATTATCCGGAACGATCAGGAACATCGATATTCAGGATAACAGATTTTTCCAGTTTTCTGAATCGCTACAAAAAGCCGTTTTTTTATAGTTAAACCCAACTAAAAAAAATGGAAATAATCTTAAAAAGAAGAAAATACGATGAAGTAATTCACTAATGATTATTTCGAATTCAAAAAAGAGCGAAAAATCCTAAAATCTTATGAGGAAAAAAAAAAAATTTTTTTTTTAAATGACGGGAAAACTAATCGAATTTTGTTCCGGTTTTCTGATTTCCGGATAACGGGTTCTGTACTGTATTTTAAAAAAATGCATAGTGGAGGTGTTAAGAACCGTAATCATTTTCTTAAGTACTATGAAGTGTTTAAATCAATCTTTATGTATTAAAATATTTTAAAAAATATAGGTAATTTCATTTGAATAAATATTTCATTACTTTAAATTGTGGTTTAAAAGGACAATTGAATAGGCAGTTAATTTCATATAGTTACTTATGAGGTGTTTTTTCTGTACCCTTTTTTCAAGTGCTTATTTTTCATCCACCGTCAAAGCAATGGGGAAGACTTGCCTAATTATAAATTAATATCGATTTGAATAGATTTAGTCTTTTCCATGATACAATTTATTTTATGATAACAGAATAAATTTCACTATTTCATATATTATATAGTAATCAAATATAGAATACAAAAATATGAAAGATTCAAAAGTTAAAAAATAAAATTGATGAGATTGATTTAAAATAATGCTATTTCATAAAAAATTTATTAGAAAAAGAAGAAATAATTATTTAGTCAAAAAATAAAAAGTAAAAACAGAAGTCATAAATAAATAAAATATTATTTGTCAAAATAATGCTATCATACACTATTCTGCGATTTCTGCCCATATTTGACTAATTTAACTCTGTTTTTTTATTTTTAGTATGCTACTATAATTCAAATAAATAGTATTTTTATAAAAAAAATATTTAGCTATGTTAGACTAGCAAGCCTAGTTCTCAAGACAGTTTTTAGAGACAAATATTCAACGACTCTCCACAACTCAATTATTAATTGATACTAATGTAATAATTGTATTTACAGCTTATTCTATTGATGCACACCTTAACATCAAGGTTCGTGATTTTTTTTTTTTTTTAATCAAATGCACTGTAAGAACTTTAATTTATGATTAAAAAAACTTCATAAATGTTTAATCAAAATTAAATTAATATTAAACTATATTATAACAATATTTTAGAAGCTCTAAGTTACTAAAATAATTTTTCATTGTAATACATAGCTTTGAATGCATAGCAACCATTTTGAAACAAATGCATGATTGAAATTTCAAAACTAGATGAAATAGAGAATTTAAAGAATACTACAGGGGTCTGTCAAGGTTTTTCTGAGAGGTACCTATTTTGTGAAAATTTAGACATAATTTGTGAAAATTAAATATTGCATTAAAAAATCAACACAAAAGTATGGATTTATCGTTTTTTACGAGACACAAAAATAAAATTTGTAGAAAAAGTATTTTATGAAATTATTCTACAGTTTTTCCCTAAAGTTGAATTTGTGAAGGTACCACTAAAAGTTAGTGAATTTGACTTGGACAGACCCCTGAATTTTAACTATTAAAACAAAGTTTCAATTAGCAAACAATAATTTTAATTTAAAATTGTGATTTCTTTTTTTTTTTTTTCCTCTTGATCTTTAAAATGACAAAATGAATGTAACAGATTGTGTTTATAAATGTAGTCATTCATCAAAAAATATATAAATATTTAATCTATATTTTTATGTTAAAATAGTCATTTTTAATCCTACATCAAAATAGATAAGTTTTTTAAAAATCTATGTACTCATTGGAATTTTTTTCCCACAAAATTTCTTTATAGAAAATCTGATAATGTCAAAGATACTGTAAACATATGAGAAAAACAATACCAGTTAATAACCCAACTGCTTCTTCAATAGACTTTGAAAGGGAACAATGACACTATATCAAGAGAAAAAAAATCTCAATTCATCAGCCTTTTTTCTCTCTCTCTCTTTCTCTTTTTGGTATATTAGGGTAATTGCTTTTTAATATAAACTCAAGCTTCAGAATTATACATTTTCCACCAATAAAATATAATGTAGATTTTAATTACATGCTTTTTCAAATAAAAGGTAAAATTTTAATTAACATTATTTGCATTTTTTTTAAATTCATGTTTATTAATTACTTTCTACAGCTAGGAAAGTCTATATTAAGACAGCATTAAATGTTTACTTGAATCTGAACTTTCAATCTCAAGAATCAAAAGATTTTAAAAATGTAATTTCAAATGTGTTGGAATTTAACACACACCCAAGAAAGAAAGTAATTTCGTAAACTAAAATTAATTAATGCAGTTATTTATTAAAAATAAATTTTAAAACTAAGAAAAGAAAATAAAAAAAGTATCAATAATTTAAAACACTGTTTTTTAACTTTTAAAGCTAATATATATATTTAAAAAAATCAGTTGATTTAAATCAATTATTTTTTTAAAAAAATCATTTGATTTAAATCGTGATTTACAATGAGCAAAATTTTGTATTCATGCGAGTGTGTCGATTACAAACATCAAAAAATTAAATTCTAGAGTAGAAAACATTTATATTCAAAACAAAATTTTCAAATACTTTAGATAAGCAAATCTACTCATTCTTTTGCATTGCAAGTATTTTTATATAATGAACATAAATTCATTTTATACTAATAATAAACTTATTTTTAAGTCCATTACTCATTAATTACTTCTCATACATATCAAATAATTACTTAATATTTAACATTGGCCCACATTAATCGTTCTTCCGTATCTTTCATACACAATAACTTCTTCTATGAGAAATGATTGATTGAAGTTGTAATGTATATTGAAATAATAATAATTTATAAAACTAAATTTAATATCTAAACTAAAAGAATTCAAACAAACAAATTGGATTGGCACTTAAGGTTATTTGTGTTGTATTTAACGTAACAAAAAATGCAAAATGTATTTTTTTCTTTAAACATAACAGAAAATATTATTATTTTGTCCATCAACCCAGTCCATGTTTCTTTTTTTCCTCATAAGGTTTTTTCTGCACAAATAATTTTCTACTCTTTTTTTTTTGCGCATACCAGGGTTCGTGATTTTTTTGATTTTTTTAAAAAAAATCAAAAGAATTAGATTTTTTTGATTTAAATCGGATTTTTTTGATTTAAATCAGATTTTTTTGATTTTTATTCAAATACACTGTAAGAACTTTAATTTATGATAAAAAAATTATAAATGTTTAAACAAATTAACTTAATATTAAAACTATATTGTAACAATATTTTAGAAGCTCTAACTAAAACATGGCTTTGAATGCATAGCAACCATTTTGAAAGAAATGCATGATTAAAATTTAAAGACTAGATGAAATAGAGAATTTAAAGAATACTTCAGGGGTCTGTCTGGGTTTTTCTGAGAGGTACCTATTTTGTGAAAATTAAAAATTATATTAAAAAATCAACACAAATATAGTAAAAATATGGATTTATTGTTTCTTACGAGACACAAAAATAAAATTTTAAGAAAAAGTATTTTGTGTGATTATTCTATCATTTTTCCTAAAGTTGAATTTGTAAAGGTACCGTTAAACGGTAGTAAATTTGGCTTGGACAGACCCCTGTACTTTAACTATTAAAACAAAGTTTCAGTTAGCAAACCATAACTTTAATTTAAAATTGTGATTTCTTTTTTTTTTCTCTTGATTTTTAAAATGGCAAAATAAATGAAGCAGATTGTGTTCATAAATGTAGTCATTCATCAAAAAATAAATAAATATTTAATCTATATATTTTTACAT